TTCTTTCTAATAGTGTTGGGGCTTCTGACCTCTACACTCACACAACTTAAAATATTAGTGGCAACTACATTCTTTCCAAGCACAGACATGAAACGGATAAAGTATCTGCACACAAAATTATTAAACAGAAGATCCAAGCTCTCCAAGAAAAACATGAAAAGGAAACTTAATTCATTTGCAAAGGTAAACGGCAAATAACATGAAATGCAGTGCTGGTTGGTGCAACTTTGTTCAGAATGTAATTGTAGAATCCATCAAAAATAAGCAACCTCAAAACTTTATCTATAAAGCCAGGATCAATACTACTCTCTCTCCCCAAGATTGCCCTAAAGGGAATCTTTACATATTTTTCAATAAATATGGAAGCTACTCAGGTCATAGACCCACATTGCACTGGTTATATCTCTATTGTAAAAGTAATGTTTTGACTCACATAGATATTGTCTCTGCACAAACATCTATAGCCATTATTGAAATGCATATGTGTCTGAGGTTATTCTTCCTGCTTCCTCCATCAATACCAGGAGGATGAAGGAGAAGAAATGCTTAGAATTCATCCTCCCTGAAATGGGTCCACTCATAATTTTCTTTCTTCATTAGCTTTTCAGTTCTGCTTAGGAAACAGATACCAAATAAAAACTTCTTGTTTTGTAATAAGTAAAACTAATCTTCTATTTCTCATTCCTCCTTCTTCCCTCACAGTTACATTTTTGGTTTCCCATCCTCCAGGCACTGGGAAATGCCAGGAAGAAAGAAACAAATGTGGAAAACGAAAATCCTGTTTTATAGCATTAGCCACAGGTTCTCAAGCTCAACATTTTGCCTGGTGAAGAGCTCCTGAACTTTAAATGTTTGTGTGTGTTTTGTCTTAATATGAAATTGGAAACATTAAAGAAATGCAAGGCTCGATTAGTAAAAAATAAATTAAAAACATTTGCTTTATTTGTTTATACTGGTTCACATTTGACTGCAGAATTGTGCCATTTAGCTTAAGATCATTCAGCTGAGCAGACTATTTTTGACACCCCATCAAAACATCATTTCCTTTCCAGATACATCATAATAATTATTAAACAGCAGAGGAAAAGAGAAAGAAGTGGAGAAAATGAGAAAATACAATGACTTGCAAATAGTAGTAGAAGGACTTTGACAAAAGAAAGCAAAGATAGTTCCAATAGTATTAGGTGCCTTGGATGCAATGCCAAAACATGTAGAGCACCACTTGAAAATATCAGCATTGACAAAATTACTACTGGTCAATTGTAAAAAGCAACTTTAGCTGGAACAGTTTATATCCTGAAACAATATCTTTAATATCATCAAGCAATAACATCTGCCTAGGCCACTGATGGCAAAACTTTTAGAGACCGAGTGCTCAAACTGCAACCCACTTATGTATTGTTGGGTTCTGGGTGGGTGGGGCCCATTGGGTGGGTGTGGCCAATTGGGTGGGTATGGCCAATTGAGTGGGTATGGCCCATTGGGTGGGCATGGCTGCGGTGGTAATGGCAGACTGGGTGGGACTAAAAAGTTCAATCAATCAATTCCAACTTTGCGAGATCTTTTTTTTCCCTGCGAGAAGTTGAAATTGATTGAGTGATTGAACCTTGCACACGGCGGCGGAGGCCTAAAGCGAAAAGGTTTTATAAAACCCAGCTGAAGGCCTAGGACTGGGGCGATGGTGCGCGTGCCTGCAGAAAAGGCTCTGCCTGCCACCTGTGGCACCCATGCCATAGGTTCGCCACCACGGACCTAGGCTATGTCCTTGGGAAGAACTCAAGAGATGGACAAAAATGCAAATTCAGTCTAAACATCTGGCTGACTATGCAACCAGCTATAATGTATTAAATGTATAGGCTGCCCAATTTATTTCAATAGTGTTTTCAATTTGTTTTCTTATGCCTTCTATAAGATTTGCCCAATCTCTTCTCCTTGATTTTTGCCTTATACTGTTTTGTGGCTGGGCATTGTCTTTTCTGATATATATCATCACCAGGTGAGTTCAGTTCTTCTACCAATAATGACAAATGCACATAGAAAAACCCAGAACCCCCCCCCCCCTTTTGTTTTGTTTGAGGCAAGGAAAAAAGACATTTACTTTGCTGTGGAAAATTACTCAAGTCAGATCCATTGTATTTTCTTAAAACTGTAAAATCCTGGTTCAATTGTCTTCAGATGGCGAGGCAAGACAGGTCATTGAAAAGCATTGCAAACAGTCCTTAGGGATAATCCAGCTTTGTTCCAAGTTCAGTAAACCAGAGCAAACCCAAAAATCTTATTAAATGCATAAGAACAGATCCAAATGATGATTCAATACCATGTGAACAGAGAGAAGCAGATTGCTTCTGGAATGCTGCAAAGGTGTTGGATGGGCACATCCTGAAAGGTAGTGCAGTAAGAGGATCTAACTAGGGTTTTCCAAAATGGTTTGTGGAGGGACAGCCCATCACTTAGCTCTCAAATACAGATATCAAGTGATATACCTAGTTAAATCAGTTCATTGTTAAGATTAATTCATGCATTAAAGCAGGGATGTCAAACTGCCAGTCCATGGGCCGGACGCGTCACATGGAAGCCACGCCCACCCCATTGCCAGCAATGGCAAAACTGTCTCGATACATTGCACGACATCACGTGACGTCGTGAAATTGACATGTCTGCCTTAAAGCTATACACATTTATTTCAAAGACTATTGAGTTAAATAGCACTTAAGAAGCTGCATCCTGTTCAAATCAAATAATAATTCATCCTCTCCAGATTTTATTCTAGCAGACAGTCATGGCAGGTGCTCTATGTCATCTAATCAGATAGCTCTAATTGCTATAAATCCGGCACTAAGAAAAGATCTGAGAATGAGATTATCATGTGCTGGAAAAACAACAGTGATTTCTCTAAAAGTCAAAGTACATGAACAGAGAGAGGATCTTGCTGTAATTTTTCAAGATATAGCAATGATTAAAACATCAATGGGTAGTGCAGTTTCACCAGATTGGTATATCATCGAGAAATCTTCAAGCACACAAATTAAGAATTGCAACTCTTTTGACCTATAGAGAAATAGGGAAATAATATGATATAAATCTTCCAATATATATATAAAGCACTCTTCTGCTTTGCAATTTGTCACCTAGTGAGGCAATATAAAATTAGAGTGTAGGGTTCCTGCCTGAGCAGGGGGTTGGACTCGATGACCTCCAAGGTACCTTCCAACTTTATTATTATTATTATTATTATTATTATTATTATTATTATTATTATTATTATTATTATTAAGAAAAAATCCCTCTAAGGATGATAATATATTCCTCAGGTTTTCCTTGGTCAGAACTATGCCTTCCTTAATCATAATGGGGAAATCATTGATTCCCCCTAAGTCTTTCCATCTCTGCAATTCTAGGAGTTTATTCCAGTCATGTTCTGGCTGAAACAAATTCTACAGCATTGTTAAAGGAACGCAAAATGCAATTAGATGATTGTTTTAGCCTAACCCCTTGCACTAGGTTCTGAAAACTTATAGCCCACATCTGAAAGGGTGTCTATTACAGAAGTACTCTAATGAAAGAAACAGTGTAGGACAACTGTATTATCTGAAGGCACACAAATCCTAAACCTGAATAAAGTACAATAATCAATAGGCCAATACTTATAGTATATTGTATTTACTACCTAAGACATGTGGAATTCAGGACTTTCTCCTGCCTCTTCAAAAGATTTTGATTGTGTTATGAAGCTTTTTTTTTTTAACACCCCACTCAGATTATGTACAGGATCTGTACCCAACACTTTTCTAGTTCAGCTTTCCTGTAATTTGTATTCCATTTTTTTCTCTCTATCAACTCACATAACCTTAGCTCATCTCAAAAAGCTAAGTGTGGTCAAATCAGCTTAGTAATGGGATAGGACACCATATTCTGCTGTACCTACACTAAGGATAGTTAAGCTTTCCCTCTCTTGCCATTGATGTTAAAATCCTGTTGCAAACACCATGAGCTAAAGGGGAAGGGCACTCCAGTGGTTGCAAATGGGTGGGGAAGATTTACCCCTTCCAAATCAACACAGGTTGGTCCTGATCCATATCAGGAGCCATCCACTTATAATGCTAGAAAAATCTAGGATCTGGTGCATGTTGCATATATTGCCCAACCTCCCTTAGGGACCAAGGTGTGATCGTGACTATTTTGCACAAGGGAAAGGGCTAGGTCAACTGTTTGTCAAAGTTACTTTCATAAGGTATAATAAGAACATATCTCCTGTTGGCATCTCCTGAGTGGAAGGAGGAACAGATCCAAAACTAGGAGAGATTTATAAAAGTGCTTTAGAATACTCAAGAACATCTAATGCTGAAATGATTTACAGGATTCAGAACTAACGTGACTAAATTAATTAGGCCCTGGTCTTTAGAAGCTAGAAGAACTGAGTACTAAACCCCCAAGGTGGAAAGCAATAATTGAATTGCATTTGTAAAAAAGATGATTAATTCAAGTCTATATCATAGTGTCATAGTTTGGCAGTGAGAGATTTCAGGAGAATACACAAATGGAAATGGGAAGAATCTTACTTATACCAAAACATCTTCCAGTTTGTCAAAATAATCAAAATCTTTTGGAAGAAGAGGGAAGATAATGTGTACTTCAGCTTGACACAAAGCTTAGGAAAATAATCCTTGGAATCCCATGACACAATACTAATTTAAAAATATTTTGATTTTGGCTCTTCTGTGATGTTCTCCCAAATCATAAGAAGTGACCTTTCTGGAAGGTTTTGTGCTATCTTCTGCATTTTATCTGACTTACATATTCTTACTTTGTTTAGTCGAAATGGTTCACAATTCCAAAGTTCTAAAACTGATCTCAGTATGTCATTCAACATACTTTTAGTCCAATAAAGAAATTACTGGATGAAGATTTGAGCCTATTTGTGCTTGTCTGCCAAGCTTGGACTCAAGCAAATAATGAATAAATGAGACAGTTACCTGAAGAATACTAACTATATTATGAGGTTATTTTGATTCAGGGAAGTTCTCCACTTTTCCAACATAAGGTGCTCGCTTGACAGCAATAGGCTGACATTCCTGCAACGATATAATTAATTTTTTAAACTTTTTTTTTCTTTTCTTAATGGTGAAGTGAAAACATAAAAAATAGAATACCTAACAGTCTTGATGTTTTGCAACTTGGCCTAGATGTTAAAAAGGAGGAGGAAACGGACAAAATTCTTGTCAATTTTACTTGTCCAGATTATTGAGGGACAGCTGCATGGCCATCAAGGTAGCATAAAGACTCCTAATACCTCCTCCCCCTCCTTACTTCCACCCCACCCACCCCTCAAATTCTAGTTCTGCAGAATTTCAGCACCATATCAATGAGTTGAGATAAATCAAATTCTGGTTTCCTCCAAGAATGGTCACATCATACACAGAATTCTGAAGCTGTTTTCATAAAATCATAGAAATTGCAGAAATCATTTAGACTTATAATCCAACTATAGACTTATAATCCAACTACGAGTTCAGTTAAAAGACTTAGTAAAAATTGCTATGGTTTGATTGTTCTATTTTTGTCAAAGGAAAGAGAAAGGAACATTCTGGAACCTCCCATTTCATGAAACATACAAAACCTCAAATATTTGTTTAATCAAGAAAAGAAGCAATATATAAATACTGACCTGATCCCGTTGCCTGATTCGCTTGTAAACATATTCTGGGAAAGGGTCACAAGGAACGTATCTCCCCTCTCCTGCTTTGATATGAAAGACTCCACTTTGAAAAGCCACTTTGCCCCGTAAAATGGTCACAAGGGGAACTCCATGGCAAACCATTCCTTCAAATATATTATAATCATTGGCGTGGTGATGTGTCTTTGCTGAAATAGTCCTGCATTTGAAAGAAGAACATTTTGGGTCTTCTGTTTTAATCCAGAATTTAAACCTTCTGAGAACTTTTCAAAGCTCAAAACAACAACAACAACAACAACAACAACAGAGCAGCAATGTCAAAAATACTCCTTTGGAAGTTCTACTGAAGCAGACAGAGTTTTAACTAAGTTACAGTTTTGAGACAAAATTAATATTGATATTTATATGATTGTTAGGTTTTTAAGTGTACAGCGCCCAGAGTCAATCTGGGAGTGAGATAGGCAGTCCCTAAATTTGATATATTAATAAAAATAAATTAGAAATATTTTCCTAAGAAGGGAAAGTCTCTTCCCATTTTGGAACCGTACAGCATGTCTATGAACACTGAAGAGGCTTCTGTAGAACCGTTCATGTAGTCATCAGTTTGAAAGGAAAGAAACTCTGAAATAGTAATAGAGTTCATTGAATCACTGAAAATATTCAAATGGAAAAGCTTCAACACACTAAAAAAAAAAAAAGAGTCTGAAAAATGGCTAAGGAACTGTTTGCCTGAAGCTCCTTAAATCAATGTTGGTGGAACTAAGTAAGAGTTAGGAAAGCTGATAGGGAGAATAACTCAAAGATAAAGGGAAGGCCCAGACTGATTGAACAACTACCAAGAAATTACTCAACATAGAATAATACAGAGAGAGAATGAGAAGGAGGTACTCAAAGGCTGCAGGAGTGCAAATAGATTTGTTTTCTATAATTCCTATTGCAAACACTATTTGAAATTTTCCAGCTGTGAATTTTCCCTTCAAATACTTTTGACTTCAAGTTTATTTCATAGAATTCCATAAGACATTTTGAAAATGCTTTCTGGCTGTATTCATGGGGACGTTCAACTCACTGCATGCTTATGGATTGGTTTCAACCTAAGTTATGTTGTGACTGATGGCATGCAAAACATTCGTTATGTGGCCCTGCTTGATTGATCATTCTGAATGTATTTTGAGCTAGGATTACTTCCTAAATGGTTGAAACAACCATCTTGAACTTTGAAAACTTCCAAATTTGAAACCTTTTTTGTTTATCTGTGTTTGCAGAGGAAAGAAATAATCAAGGAGATATCTTTGTAAGTTGCCTTGATTTCTCAGAAAAGAGACCATAAAATGCAATTCATGTTCATAATAACACATAGCATAGATTACATGTGGCATATATCCATGATCCCATAGAACACTTCAAATATTGAAGTGCTACTGTAAATAAATCAGTGAAAAAAGGAATTCATTTAGCACAATACCAAGTGCTTTAAGTTACCCATATCCTTCAAGTTAGGTAAAGAAAGGTTTTGACATAAAATCATAACATTGGAAAAGGTAATTAAGGTCACTGGTCCAACTCTGTTCATTGCAATATTAAAACATCCTGAACAGATGGATTCATAATTAGCATCTTTGCACAAGCCGGACAGGTATATTGGTATATAAGGGGTTATATATAGATGCAATATTCTATAATATTTTTTCTCATGACACCTATTCTAATTTCTCTTCCAATGGTGTTGTCCCTTGTAAATCTGCACTCTCACTGCTTCCAATATAATTTTTTCATACAAATACAGCTTTCTTACCCTGTTAAGTATAATATAATTCAAAGGGGTATTCTCAGTTTGATTAAGGAACAATGCCTTAAGAAGGTTTTTGCTATTTACGTAAGAAGGGTAAATCCAGGTTAGGACTTTTAGACAAACTGAGATACAATCAGCGCAGATGACTCAGTGCACGATCAGCTTGTTAAATGAAGTAGAAAGAGCAAACTTCTCAAAATGAGGGTAGGGGACTGAGAGTATCCCCAAGATGAAGGTGGGGAATAAACACTGTCACCAAGATCTTTGCTTCTCACAAAGGATATTGGTAACCAGGAAAGGCCTGGTTTCTTTCTTTGCTTTAATGATATCAAACATGCAGGAATAAAGAAATACTTGCTTGAACCTGCACATATTTTCAGACAAAAAATCGACAAAGCCCAAGCCAGAAACCATAGATTATCCAAAAGCATCTATTACTTATTCTTCCATAATTGCCAGTTACACTTCATCTCATCTCAATACAGCAGATGTTAGCCATTTAACTTTTAGGAAGGCCTTGAAAACTTGGTGGTTCCCACAGGCATTAGAGCTAGGATGCTAGAGAAGCTTGTCCCGTGTGCCCCAAGTGTGTCTTTTGTTGTCGTTTCTATGGATTTTTGTTGTATTGTAAAAAATTTTGCCACCAAGAGTTGCACTTTTGTGAGTTGGGGTGCCCATACAAATCTTTAAAATAAATTCAATAAACAAATGTACCTTCAAATCAGATACCACATTTTGGGAAACTACCACTATCCAGAACTGTACAAGTAGTCCTCAATTTACAATTGATCACTTAATATGGATACTAAGGTATTTACAACCTGGTTCCAAAGTTTTGACAGCCAGGCTTCCCTGTTGTCATGTGACTGCATTTTGGGTGCTTGGCAACCAACCCCCATTTATGGTTCTTTGCAGCATCCCAGGGTCACATGACTGCGATTTACAACATTTTTGCTAAAAACCAGCATCTACAGTTTCTGGCAAAAAATACTCCTTAGCAAACATTTTGCTTATTGACCGCAGCTTAGCTTAATGAGTGTCACATTTGCTTTACAACTGCCAGGTTTGCTTAACAACCACCACAAACAATGGTTATAAAATTGGGTTGGTTACAGGGTGACCTGCTTTACAACTGTCACAAGGTATGACCGTAATTAGCAGGCTTAATTACAGTCATAAGTTGAGGACTATCTGTAGATTCTACTGCCCAAGATTTCCCTGCTGTAATGAGATGTAGGATTCGTTTAAAATTATAGCAATACAGTACATTCTTTCCGAATTAACATCTCTGTCTATAAATTAACTCTGAAAGTTTTATGCCACTCTCTGTTCTCTTTTCTTTGGCGATACCTTCCCCCTTCAATTGGTAATGCAGTAGTAGAAACTCTTTTTATAGGAGATGATCCTAATTTCACAAAACAATCAGCATCCAGGGTCAGAGTCATCTCTTGGAACACCACTTATAGACTCCTTCAGGCCTAAAGAGGTAAAAGAACACGAACAGCCTTCTCTTATATCCATCAGAGCTGACGGCGGTTCCAAGCCAGCTCAATAAAATGAAGCAAAACAAAACAAATAAAAAATGCAGTAGTTCTAAAATGCAATTTCCCTGAGCAAAACTAATTTACTCTCAGCACCACAAACTTGCCCAGATCAAATAGGATGCTTCGAAGGCAGGCTGAAGGTCACAATAATATCAACTTTACAAACTATTACTAGAATCCTAAGGTTTCCTATCTGGAACCAGGGACAAAATACAGGGACAGAAACGTGACACAAAACAGAACATTCGGGGCTTGTTAGGGCAGCAGGCAAAGTCAGACACACCTCCCCAATTCACTGAAATGATGACTTTCATCTGCCAATATAGATCTGTTATTTGGACTGAAAATCAGGATTCTAATAGTTCCAAAAAGTAGAAGTTGCATTACTTTTGTCATAGTTAACCATCTTACCGAAATACCACATATTTAATACTACTAAGGTGACCAACTGTCCTCCTTTAGGGAGGACAGTCCTCCTTTTGTAAGTTCTGTCCTCCTTCGAAAAGTGTCCCCCTACATGTCCTCCTTTTCGATATTTGAAGACTAATCTGCAGGGCTTTTTTTCCCTCATAGAACACTCAGAACGGCGTTCCGGCACCTTTTTTTGATGGGTTTCTTTTCAACTTTTGCATGAGCTGTGCTACTCCTCCTATTGGCTTTCGAAAACCAATAGGATTTGCTGCTGAGCGCGCCAAAACACCCGGCTGACAAACTTTGCACATGCAAGTTGTCTGTATTATTGTTGCAATGAATAAAATGTTTCTTTTATTTACGATATATTTTTCTTCAATTTATTTGTGTCCTCCTTTTCATTGTAAAAAAGTTGGTCACTTAATACTACACCTTCAATTTTGCAGATTTTAATCATACCCTCCAGGGAGGCCCTTGAGGCTCTGTCTTAAGCTCACTCAAACTCTGTAAGATATTTAGCAGCAGAGGAAATAGCCACAGCTTTTGGGCCTGATATATCTTCTCTGCCCAGCAAACCCACATTCCCAGAATACAAATTTATGCAACATTTTCCTTTTGAATGTCACAATACAGAGCTTTGTGGTTGATTGCCACAAAAGATACCTTCCACCCATGTTCAGATTCTCTCTTCCTCCCTGTCCTTCCATACTGCAAACCATCTACAAGGACTTAAGCAGATATAGGTTTGGTTAAAATCTAGTCAAACAATAGAGCACAATGATTTTACAAAAGTAGGCCAAGTGGATGTGGCTAGGACAGTTTCCAAATGAGAGGTCCTTATAAGGCATCCCACTGAATAAAAGGTAGGGTGAAAAGGCTGACTGTGGTGCCTAGATTTCTTTGGCGAAAAGGTAGATCAAAAATGTACAGGTAATTCTTATGACTGTAATTGAGCCTGGAATTATGGTCATAACTTATAGCAATAGCAATAGCATTTAGACTCATATACTTATATACTACCCCATAGTACTTTATAGCACTCTCTGGGCAGTTTACAATGTAAGCATTATTTGCATATTGCCCCCAACAATCTGGGTCCTCATTTTACTGACGTTAGATAGATTTTACCTGTCAGGATCGAACTCCAGGCTGTGGGCAGAGTTTGCCTGCAATACTGCACTTTAACCACTGTGCCACCAGGGCTTAATACCACCATTAAATGGATCACTATGTGACTGCACCTGATTTTGCATCCTGTTTTGCCTTGATCATTAAATTAATGCTGTGTCATTAATTAAACCTGGTAGTCATTAAGCAAATCCATTTTAGCCAATGGGTGGGTTTTTTTGCAGAAAACTGGAAGTAAACACCAGTTTGGGGCAAAAAACATAATAAATCACAGTCACATAACCATGGGATGCTGCAAATGGCCATAATGGCTGGTTGCCAAGTGCTCAAAATGTGATAATGTGACTGCAATGTGAGGGGCAGTTGTTGTTGTAACTCTGAAACCAGGTTGTAAGTATCTGTGGGGAAGTCTGTCATAATTTTAAATAGTTGGTAAACAGCCAGTCATAAAACAAGGACTAAATCAGGGGCATCTTCAGGATGAATAAAAAAGGCAAGATGGTAGCACGTGTAAAAAAAAATAGGGTGCAACTGAAGTTAAATGCCAAACAATTATTTTAATTTATCCAGGTTATAAATTTATAACAATAAATTAAAAATAAATAAAATACATCCACTTTTGTTCTATCTATAGCATTGAAGTTTATCTATCTGTTGTGAATGAGACCATTTGCTATTCAGCATATATTTTATGATGGACATTCTTTCTTAATAACCTTTTATTATTTTTCATCCATTTTTCCACTTATCATTAAAATAGATTTCCAGCAAGAATTAAAGTCAAACCAAAATAACAATAACACTTAACATCATCATACTTTTTCATTATTGTAAATTATTCATAAAAGATAAAGGGCAAGTTCATCATACTAAGTATGTCGTTTTTGTTTTATGCTGTCACAGAAGTAAAACAATGATATTTAAAAAGAAGCTAGCCAGGAAAATAGCTTATTCAGAATTAAAAGTTAATGAAAGCCATTCATCAAATATTGCATGATGATAGGGTCCACTAATTAAACCTGGACAATTTATATTGAACCAAGCAAAGTTTTACATTTAGGCAGGAAAAATCAAAGGCAGACTGGGCGAGACCTGGCTTTAAAAGAGTAACTGTGAGAAGAACCTTGGAGTCCTAGTGAATGATCACTTGACCACGAGCCAGCAGTGTGCAGCAGCAGCCAAAAAAGCGAATACAATCCTGGGTTATATAAACAGAGGCATAGAATCAAAATCTCACGAAATATTTGTGCCGCTTTATAAAACCCTAGTAAGACCACACCTGGAATACTGCAGCCAATTTTGGTCACCATATCACAAAAAAGATGTTGAGAGTTTGGAAAAAATTCAGAGAAAATTAACTAAGATGATCAAAGACCTGGAGACTAAAACATATGAAGAACGCTGCGGGAATTGCGTTTGGCTGGTCTAAAGAAAAGAAGAAATAGGGGAGACATGATAGCAGTATTCCAGTATTTGAGGGGCTGCCACAAAGAAGAGGGGGTCACGTTATTCACCAAAGCACCAAAGGGCAAGACTAGAAAGAATGGTTGGAAACTGACCAAAGAGAGAAGCAACCTAGAATTAAGGAGAAACTTCCTGATAGTGAGGACAATTAACCAGTGGAACAGTTTGCCTCCAGAAATCGTGAGTGCTCCATCACTGAAGATTGTTAAGAAGAGGCTAGACAGTCACTTGTCTGAGATGGTATAGGTTCTCCTGCTTGAGCAGGGGGCTGGACTAGAAGACCTCCAAGGTCCCTTCCAACTCTATTCTATTCTATTACAGCATGAAAATGCTTTCCCATATTCTTCCTAGGTAATGTTTTGGTCTATCTTGCAATCTCAGAACTCTCTGATGCTGAGGTTTAAACTAATAGTAATAACCAAGCCCAACCACGATTCATTTTTGAGTGCAGATAAAATCGGTCTGATCTGTCACCTGCTATCTGGTACATGATCTCAAAATCCTGTTCTTCAAAAAAAATGAAGAAAATAGGGAAAAAACTAGGACCAGAGGTTTAGTCTTCAGAGCTGGCCCTGATGACCGATCGAGATTGGATCCTGCGACATTATCCTGGGATATGTATATTTGCCTTCTGTCAAAGTTGGTTTGTTGGTAGGTAGTTTTATGAAAACTAGCCTTGTCTCAGATGAAGCTCTCCAAATGCCCTAGAGCTCATTTACAGGGTTTATGCATGCTATAAATATAGGAGTTAGAGTGCCTGATCTTGAGGGTGCCAAGTTGAAGGAGGCTGGTTCACTATGACTATGAAATTCATCCAGGCTGCTTGCTGTTGTCACAACAGTGAATAATGCTAGAATTTAAGGAGGAAAGTATAATTATCTGCTACATCCTCAGGGAAGAGAGCGCTGGCATGTTAAATTTATGGATTCAGAAAAGATATAAAATGAGTCCGAAAAACAAATAAACCTTGAGTGTATTGTCGAAAAACTGGGAGAATTAAACTACTTTGACTTACAAGCTGATTCTGAAAAGCAAAACAGGATTTATAGATTTATTTACAGTATGTCCAGATAAATAGCTACAGCATTATGTTAGCCCTCTTCAACCCTCCTGTTGTATTAAGTCAGTGATTCCCAGACTGTCTTAGTATAGCCTTTGTGTCATGAGTCCTTCAAATGCAGAACTGAGGCTATGCCTCAGCCTTTCTCAACCTAGTATATTCAGAAAGGCTTCCAAAATTCCCTAACCAATATGATTGGGGAATTCCAGAATTTCCAATTCCAATACAGTTAGGTTGCATCAAGTTGAGGAAGGGTTATGGTTTCAAGAAATACTTATCCCTAGGTTTGATATTTGGGATCTGTTGCCTAGAGTTGGCAGAGATTAAACACAAAATCTTGCACACAAATCAAGTGTACACCATTTTCTTTGAATACCTGGATTATTACTCAAAGATGCAAAACAGTTGTGTCAATAGCTTGTAGTTTCACTTGGTATGCATCCCCAACTTGTTGTCCTCCAGATATATTGGATTTCAACTATCATAATCCCCAACAATATATCTGGAATGCAACAGACTGCGACCATTATTTAATTTAATTTAATTTATTCAATTTCTACAGCTGCCCATCTCAATCAGTGACTCTGAGAGGCTTACAATTAAAAAAAATAACAATACAATTGAAACAATAAAAACATATTAAAACAGTATAACAATAAAAAAACTAAATGAAAAATTTACCTAAAATAAATAAACATTTATTTCATTTCTTAATTGTATATCAGCTCAGCTAAGCTCCACACAGTTGCCCTGACTCTACCCCAAATTAAGGGATTACGTGGTCATAAAAGGGGGGTTTTATATAAGGGAATTGTTATTTTCCTATCTGATTAGCAGTTCAGACAGATTTCTTTAAAAAGAAAGGTCCAACTATGCAGATATTCCTCTGCATAGAATGTACTGTGCCCGGGACTAACTATCTTGCAAATAGTTCAAATCAAATGTCTTCTGTTCACCAGAATTTATGTCTTAGAAATGTATTCTTTTTGCTTTACCCAGAGACATGATGGACAAATGGGGTTGGATTGGTCAGGCCTTACCTTGTAGCTTTGGGGTCCCAAATGACAATGTCCGCATCAGAGCCCACGGCTATTCTTCCCTTCTTTGGGTATAGGTTAAAGATTTTAGCTGCATTTGTGCTAGTAACGGCTACAAATCTGTTTTCATCCATTTTGCCATTGTGCTGTAAAACAGTATGAGTAGATTTTTAATAAAAACATGCGAAGAAGGAAAAATATTCATAAGCTTAGTGCAAGTGAACCCCATTTTGTCATTGGATACGAGATGGGCAGCAAATAAATGTTATACAGGTAGTCCTCCACTTACAACTACAAATGAGCCCAAAATTTCTGTTGCTAAGTGAGAAATTTGTTAAGTGAATGTTGCCCCATTTTATGACCTTTCTTGCCACAGTTGTTAAGTGAATCAGTGCAGTTTTTCAGCTAGTAACACGGTTGTTAAGTGAATCTGGCTTCCCCATTGACTCCTTGTCATAAGGTCGCAAAAAGGGGGTCACATGGCCCCCGGGACACTGCAACCATCACAAATGAGTCAGTTGACAAGCATCTGAATTTTGATCACATGACCATGGGGATGCTTCAATGGTAGTAAGTGTGAAAACACTCATAGGTCTCTTTTTTCAGTTGTAACTTTGAACGGTCACTAAATGAACTGTTGTAAGTCAAGGACTACCTGTATATATATAAATAAATAATAAAATTCCTAATCTGGGGAAAATAATTCCCATATACCAAAGGTACTGTACCAGGACTTTCACAGTGTGGTGGGGGTGTAAAAAAAAAAAAAGTAAAGATGGCAGCCACGGCCAAGCAGTCAGGACTCCACTCATTTTTATGTCCATAAAAAGGGAGCACAGCTTTAATTGTATATTTGTGGTTGCCACTTTGGAATTTTTGACACCACCTTTGCGTTGATCATCTGGTCCTGGACAGAATATTTCAAGACATCAAATTTCAACTCCCAACAGCTAATCAAAAACATAGCACCAAGGTAATAATTTTCTAAGAGAAACACATAGTTTGGAAACAGCTCCAAATTTATAACCTGGATAAATTAAAATAATTGTTTGGTATTTGGCTTCAGGGAAATCAAACAGACTAATACAGTACACGAAACCTGCACACATTCTTAAAATTCATACAGCTTATCACTATAATAATTCTGAAGTGGGAGCCCAATAAATAAATAAAACCAAAAGAAGTCTTTTCAAAGGTGGCAATAATTTAGAGAAAATATAGAGAAAGGAACTGCAGCAATCAGCAAAACTGAATATGTATATTATAGATAAAATTCCTGCCTAAACAGAAAGCTTGCCTAAATGAATTGCTAAGGTTCTAAATTTGATGATATTAATATAAATTGCTTCAATAATTTTGCATATGCTGTCAAGAAAGCTCTCGCCGTTTCTTAAAAGGTGGAACTTAGGTGCAAATCAAATACTAGATTACTCTCAAATTTAGCAATCCTGTGCATATTTAAAGTAAAAACACACATAGGAACTCAATTCCAAGCAGGTAAAAAGGTTTTTACTCTTCTGCTATGGAACTGATTTGGTTCCTTATAATTATTAACTGTATTTGAAGAATAACTTTCAGTGGTACAAATGAGATGTTCCCTTTTGGTGCATAGAAAGATGACATTCCTATTGATAATGGGACAAGAATAAAGACATTATCAAATAACTGAATCCTCTTTAATCCCCACAAAGGTCCCAATCCAGATTGAGTTCCTATGTCTATTTTAAAAATCTTTTTATCTCCTTGCTCAAAATCTATATTTGAGTAGCCTTAGTAGACAATGATCTAGTTATTTAGAATATTTTATCCTACTTGTATTCTTAAAAGGCATTTAAAGTGACTTAGCTTGATCTAACTAGATGTTAAGGATTAAGAAAGGACATAATGATAGAAATATATTTAAGCATCTAAGACAGGGGTGTCAAACTCAATTTCATTGAGGGCCGCATCAGCATTGCGGTTGCCCTTGGGAGGCCGGGTGGGTGTGGCCAGGGTGGGTGCGGCCTACTGGGTGGGTGTGGATGGAGTGGGTGTGGCCTATTGGGTGGGCATGGTCAGCTCTATATCGTTCGCTTCAAGGGTGCCTGTGGGGCAGGAGTGGGACAGATCTGAGGGTCTTTGGCAGAAGGGGATGGGACCAGGGCAAGTGCCAAAGCATGGTCCACTGGAGGAGCCTCACTGTTCCTCTCAGGACATGCGGGGGGGGCTGGATGGTGGTGCGGGCTGCCCGGAGCCCTGGGCAGCAGAGGTCAAACACCCAGCCTGGCCCTCGAGCACCCACGATACCAAGCCCAGCTCCACTTCCCCAAGGGGGCGCCCAGCTGCACTTATCTCCTCCTCAAGGCTGCTGCTGCTGTAATTGCTCTCCTTAGCCAGGTTACTCATGATGGGTACGATGGCAAAGTCAGAGGGAGGCCCATTCCCTCTCCATGGGAGTAGACCCAGCTTTGTATCCAAAGCTTCCTTAGCAATAAGATGAGATGCGTTTCAGCATAGATGGCCACCACAAAATTGTACATTGGCTCCCGACCGACGTGGGCCAGGGCCAAGGCAGAGGGGGCCGTTCCTTCACTGTTTCCAGGATGGCTTCGCGGGCCACATGAAACCACTTCGCATCCGGCCCCCGGGCCTTGTGTTTGACATGTCTGATCTAAGACAAACATTTATATTAACCCCAGTTCCTTGAATTTATGTAAAACTCACTTTTTTTCTCAACAATGGAGTTCAAATAAAGTTGGATTTCTAATGTTCTTTCCAGGCAGCTAATTCTAAGAATTTACCTGTCACAGTCGGGATCATTTCCAGGTGCCATACCGTATCAAGAGCAACTCAGAGCAATTTATATAGTCAAATCAGAAATATTACCAAAATAAGTACAGTAACAAAACTTCTATCTTCCAGGAAAGAGAAATCAATGATAATTATATATTCAAGCATACCTTTGAAAGCATTTAGTTCAGATCAGAAAGCTAGAGAAAGGAGCAACCATTTTTGAGAGTGCATGCGCATACTTTAGATTTAAAAGGAAAAAAAATATTTTAGTGCATCCAGAGGGTGCTCATGAAGCACCTTTCTGCAGCTCCTGAAGTTAAGCATGTCTTTTGTTGGGGCTTCACCATAGTTGAAATGGCAATCATGCAATACTAGGGAAAGATGTAGCTGCTGTAAATGAGGACTCTTTGTTCTTGTCTTTACTATTGTATTAGAGAATGAATTGAAATCCTACTTACCACTCCTTTTTCCCAGATTACAGACATCCGGTCTTCCACTCCATTCACTCCATTTGGGATCTTCGTGAAATTATTTTTCCCCACAGCCTTCTGGCAGATGTCAAATGTACAATTATCTGTTGCAGTCACAGTCAAGTCACCACTTAAAAAAATAAGGTAAAAAAAATATTATTACTGAAGTGGCAATAAAGGGCAAGATAATTTTATATGCTCCAACCAACCTTCCAATTCAGAATGATACATCCTACTTGCTTCATTGTTTAAATCTTAAAAACATTTAAGTAACAAGAAATTTGCTGAAAAATGGTAAGAAAATAAAAAATGAATGACCTATAAAGAAATCCCATCACCTTCAAGTCAAACCAATAAAACCCTATTTGTGGAGATATCAGCTTGTATTCAACTATACCCCCAAATTAGTTGGAACAATGGGATAAGATCAATGAAAATAAAGTTCTGCTAGACCAGTGGTTCTCAACCTTGACAATTTTAAGGCATGTGGACTTCAACTCCCAGAATTCTGGGAGTTGAAGTCCACATGCCTTAAAATTGTCAAGGTTGAGAAACACTGTGCTAGACCAAGGCAAACGTCCTATTCAACTACCTCAGGAAGCTCCTAAGATCTTGATAGCCCTCATTTATTGCTTCCCAAAGACGATATTGCTCCCTAATGGCGCTAGAGTCATCATTCTACTGTAGTCCTGGTAGTCCTCAACTTACAACAGTTCATTTAGTGTTCAAAGTTACAATGGCACTGAAAAAATACTTATGACAGTTTTCCCACTTACGATTGTTGCAGCATCCTCATGATCCTATGATCAAAATTCAGATGCTTGGGTTGACTCGTATTTATGATGGTTGCATGTGCCGAGGTCATGGAATCACTTTTTATGACCTTCTAGCAAGCAAAGTCAATGGGGAAGCCAGATTCACTTTACTAATTTAATGATTGCAGTGATTCACTTAACAACTGTGGCAAGAAAGGTCATCAAATTGGGCCAAAACTCACTTAACTGTCTCACTTAGCCATGGAAATTTGGGGCTCAGTGGTGTTCATAAGTAGAGAACTACCTGTACTATTTTGAGGGGGGAGATGAGGGGCAGGCTTAGATTCCTTTCATTAACCAATGAAAGGAAACCTGGAATGCTGCAGTAGAAAGGGTATCAATGCCTTGGAGCCACATAATCCTTTCAGGAAATAGATATGATAAGTGGCTGCAGTCCAATGCTTTCTATGGAAGCGTTCCAAATAGTTGGAAATTGACCAAGATAAGCTGGACAAATTAGGAGGAAGCTGGAGTCAGGCTAGAAGAGAAGAGAAGGATGAAGAAAGCAACCTATTGAAATTGGCCCCTAGTAAATAGAGACTTGTTACAATATGGCCATCTAGAGGGCAATAGCTCATCCAAGGGGCTGATGTTGAAAAGCTAAGCAGGGTTAGACCTGGTTATTATTTGCCTGGAATGCCACAAAGAAAGACCTGAATTGAAGCTAGATGGGAAGTTGAAAAACATCTCAGGATATAGCAGTGGCAAATCATTTCTACAGTTTTGCTAAGTAAACAACATGGATATGTCTCTAAGGTCAAGCTTGACTCAAAGAACTCTTTCATTTTTTATCTTTGTGATTGGTGAAGTTTCCCTTCCAAAATCAGCTATTTTCTGAGAGGGTCCATGATATCCTCTCAAAATAAGCTGTGTATGACTTTTATTCAATATTTAGCAGTTTCCAAACAAACTGGGAAAGCCACACTGAAGGTGACAAATATATATATATACACCAGAAACATAATTATTTTCCCCCAAAAGGAACATTAAAAGTCCTTTCCACATTTTTTACATTTTTCTTCAAAATCCATCGAAACACATTACTGTATTTTGCCTTTTTGCTTATGCTGGTTTTAACAGCTACTTAGGATCCATTTATTAAAGGGCTCTTGTGAATGATGAACTTTTTTTTACTTTGCTAGAAGATTCATGAGGAAGTCTGGAGTGGAAGCATCAGGCCTCAGTGGAGGAGCCATGACGTGAGCGGCCGCCCAAGACCAGTCCTTATGCCAATATTGAGTGCCATCTGTACAAAGGCTTGCAGCTATAGGCTCACCATACACAATTTTGCCTATGAAGACAAGAACGAGGCAAATTAATGGTAAGAAGAATAAAACTAATATCACTAACTTGCAATTCCACATCAATGGATTGGATCAGGTATAATATAGTCAATGCATGTGACCTAAGTGGCTGAACAGATGTTTGGGGGAAAAACTAATGATGGGGTGGGCAGTTTTGGGGAACACACGTACACTCCCTTCCCAGCTTTTCTGAGGTCACTGAAGCTTGCGACAGAAATTATTAGTTTTTGTAAATCATCTCAATGATTGTAGGTGCAGACTGGTCTTCCAATTATGTGTACACATAAAATCAAAATATATGCGTGCATGTTGGAATCAGCCCATATAGAAAAAGTGATCTGACAGGCAAAATGATAATGAAGGCTTAGAAAAGATGATTAGAAGTTAAATATTACATTGTGGTTCACATAATAATTAAAAAAAGGATTGATGTCTGTCTTCTTAAATAAAATAATGAAGAAAGATAACTCGGTAGACCAAAATTTAGTAGCAAAGTGCCAAGAATGTGGTAGGCCATGGCATACATCTTTTTGATCCCTCTCAGTTCATTTTTCTGTGAAGGAAACCCTAATTCCATTCATCTTAAAATTGCTAAGGTTGACAAACACTGCTCTAGAGCAGAGTCCCCAACTTTTTCGGCTTTGTGGACCAGTGGGGAGGGAAGGGAGACGGGATGGTTACGTGTGAGGAGTGGGCACATGGGCACGCCACCCACTGCTTCCACAAATGGAGCGTGCACACGCTCGCCTGCTGTTTGTGCAAGTGGGGGATGCACGCATGCGCGCCCACCCACCACTTCTGCAGACAGGTTCCGAATGGCTCAAGGCCCAGAGGAGGGCCACAACCCGGGGGTTGTGGATTACTGCTCTAGAGGAAAGGACGATGAAATAATAATCTATTAATGTAGAATCAGTAACTGGGCTGCAGCACAACTGTTAATTAGAGGAACTACTCCAATTTACCACTGATTAATTGTGATCATTCCTATCCTTCCCTGTCTCCCGAGTGATCTTTATATTAATAATCACACACATTTTTTAAAAAAAAAATCTATATTTTTGTTTTGTTTTTAAAGCTACTGGTTGTATGCAATAAAAGATAATATTACATGTTCACATGCAGCTACCCACCATCTGCAGAATCTTTAAATCAATATTGTTGAGGTCTCTCAGCCCATCTACTTTTGACAGAGAGATCAAACAAAACAGAATAACCATTTATGGTTATAAAGGCAAAAGCTTTGGGGCAGCCGAAAATAATGCTGCTTTGTAGGTTTAGAGGGAAAAACTAAGAATGTTTACTCAGTAGCTGATACTTATTTAAGAACGTTGCAAACTGCATTTCATATTATTTATCCCAGGGCTGCTTACCATGCAAATTGAAGCAAAACAAAACAATAACATTTATCATAAAAAATAAAACCACAAAAAGAATTTAAATTCAAATTAAAGCAGCTCTTTGAAAACTTGATATTTGAATCCTAGGCTGTTGAAGGCTACAAAAATTGAAAAATGAATCTATCCAACAGACACTTTGCAAAATTGGCAGCATAGTGTCCCAGAAAACCAAGTAAAACTTTGACTGCTATATTTTTGAACAAAGGCTGTAGCTATTGAACTACAATTGACAACAAAGAAATCTCTAGAGTTATGTACAAAAGATTTCAGTGTACAGATTACAGTACTACAATACTTAGGTTGCATAGACAATTAGTTGGCAGCAAAGAAACACCAAAAGCTAATTTTTTGGTGTTACCTAGTGATTGTCTGATTTACTTTTGCAACCCAGATGTTATACACACAAAAAAAAGAGAACCAGTTTGGTCTAGATATTAAGATACACGACTAGAAACTGGGAGGCTGTGAGTTCCAGTCCTGTCTTTCGCATAGAAGTTGGTTTGGTGACTTTGGGTCAGTCATTCTGCCACAAGGCCTCAGTCTACAGCATTAAGCTTGGAAGAGAAGCCATTTGGTCAATTCCTACAACTAATAGAACAATACTTGGTTGACTCAAAAAAAGTAGATGTTTGGAAGAAAAAAAGTAGTTACAGGCAAGGAATGGGCTGCACCTCACAAAAACAGGGAAAATATACTAGAAAAAGACTGGCCCAACTCATCAGGACCACTTTAAACTAAAATTGAGGGGGAGTATGACCAATCATTAGAATCTCTAAAACCCAAAACCAATCATGATCCCAAGAAAACAAATCAAACAATGAGGTAGGCAGAGACGAGAAAAAAGAAAAACCCAAACAACAATCAGGAGATGCAGGAGACAAGTCCACGAACAGGCATAAAAGTCTTAAATGCTTATATACAAATGCTCAAAGCTTGGGGAACAAACAGGGCGAACTAGAAGCAATAGTACACAGGGGAGAATATGACATAGTTGGCATTACAAAAACCTGGTGGGATGAAACCCATCAATGGAATGGACTGATGGATACAAATTATAGGTAGGAAAAAACAAAGGTACGACGAGTACAGATTGGACAAGACCTGGCTTAAAAACAGTAACTGTGAGAGGGACCTTGGAGTCCTAGTGGACGATCACTTAACCATGAACCAGCAGTGTGCAGCAGCAGCCAAAAAAGCTAATACAATCCTTGGTTGTATAAACAGAGGCATAGAATCAAGATCACGCAAAGTATTAGTACCGGTTTATAAAACCCTAGTAAGACCACATGTGGAATACTGCAGCCAATTTTGGTCATCATATCACAAAAAAGATGTTGAGAGTTTGGAAAAAATTCAGAGAACAACTAAGATGATCAAAGGCTTGGAGACTAAAACATACGAAGAACGGCTACAGGATTGGGTTTGGCTGATCTAAAGAAAAATAGGGGAGACATGATAGCAGTATTCCAGTATTTGAGGGGCTGCCACAAAGAAGAGGGAGTCACATTATTCACCAAAGACCAGAGGGCAGGACAAGAAACAATGGTTGGAAACTGATCAAAGAGAGAAGCAAGCTGGAATTAAGAAGAAACTTCCTGATAGTGAGGACAATTAACCAGTGGAAGAGCTTGCCCCCAGAAATCGCGGGCGCTCTATCACTGGAGATTTTAAAGAAGAGAGTAGACAGTCACTTGTCTGAGATGGTATAGGTTCTCCTGCTTGAGCAGGGGGCTAGATTAGAAGACCTCCAAGATCCCTTCCAGCTCTATTCTATTCTATTCTATTCTATTCTATTCTATTCTATTCTATTCTATTCTATTCTATTCTATTCTATTCTATTCTATTCTAACTAATTGCTATTGCTATAATCAGAGTAGCAATATTCTGTTATTATAGCCAATAAACATAGTTTTAGCCTTCCTGTGCAGTTGATTTCCTGCTCTGGCTCATCTGGTGGAGTGCCACTGCCTGAAGTTATCTGAATCTCAATGTAATTTTTCCTAGAAACTCCAGTAGTGAATGTACTGCACTGAATACAATATGTTTGCAAGTGGTCATAATAAATGCTTAGAAATAGCTGCAGTTTATTGCCTCTTAATGTTCAAGTCTGACTCCTCTCAGCCAANGCCGTGGATCCAGGAGGACTCCCAAGTTGCGGGCCTTCTCTGAGGGGGCCAAAATTTCACCCCCTATAGTCAGCGATGGGGTCAGCTGACTATGCCGAGGCGCCGGCAGCCACAGCCACTCGGTCTTGGAAGGGTTGAGCCTGAGTCTGTTCCTCCCCATCCAGACCCGTACGGCCTCCAGGCAACGGGTCATCACGTCCTCAACTTATAACAGTTCATTTAGTGTTCAAAGTTACAATGGCACTGAAAAAATACTTATGACAGTTTTCCCACTTACGATTGTTGCAGCATCCCCATGATCCTATGATCAAAATTCAGATGCTTGGCTTGACTCGTATTTATGACGGTTGCATGTGCCGAGGTCATGGAATCACTTTTTATGACCTTCTAGCAAGCAAAGTCAATGGGGAAGCCAGATTCACTTTACTAACTTAATGATTGCAGTGATTCACTTAACAACTGTGGCAAGAAAGGTCATCAAATTGGGCAACACTCACTTAACTGTCTCACTTAGCCATGGAAATTTGGGGCTCAGTAGTGTTCATAAGTAGAGAACTACCTGTACTATTTTGAGGGGGGAGATGAGGGGCAGGCTTAGATTCCTTTCATTAACCAATGAAAGGAAACCTGGAATGCTGCAGTAGAAAGGGTATCAATGCCTTGGAGCCACATAATCCTTTCAGGAAATAGATATGATAAGTGGCTGCAGTCCAATGCTTTCTATGGAAGCGTTCCAAATAGTTGGAAATTGACCAAGATAAGCTGGACAAATTAGGAGGAAGCTGGAGTCAGGCTAGAAGAGGAGAGAAGGATAAAGAAAGCAACCTATTGAAATTGGCCCCTAGTAAATAGAGACTTGTTACAATATGGCCATCTAGAGGGCAATAGCTCATCCAAGGGGCTGATGTTGAAAAGCTAAGCAGGGTTAGACCTGGTTATTATTTGCCTGGAATGCCACAAAGAAAGACCTGAACTGAAGCTAGATGGGAAGTTGAAAAACATCTCAGGATACAGCAATGGCAAATCATTTCTATAGTTTTGCTAAGTAAACAACATGGATATGTCTCTAAGGTCAAGCTTGACTCAAAGAACTCTTTCATTTTTTATCTTTGTGATTGGTGAAGTTTCCCTTCCAAAATCAGCTATTTTCTGAGAGGGTCCATGATATCCTCTCAAAATAAGCTGTGTATGACTTTTATTCAATATTTAGCAGTTTCCAAACAAACTGGGAAAGCCACACTGAAGGTGACAAATATATATATATATACACCAGAAACATAATTATTTTTCCCCAAAAGGAACATTAAAAGTCCTTTCCACATTTTTTACATTTTTCTTCAAAATCCATCGAAACACATTACTGTATTTTGCCTTTTTGTTTATGCTGGTTTTAACAGCCACTTAGGATCCATTTATTAAAGGGCTCTTGTGAATGATGAACTTTTTTTTACTTTGCTAGAAGATTCATGAGGAAGTCTGGAGTGGAAGCATCAGGCCTCAGTGGAGGAGCCATGACGTGAGCTGCCGCCCAAGACCAGTCCTTATGCCAATATTGAGTGCCATCTGTACAAAGGCTTGCAGCTATAGGCTCACCATACACAATTTTGCCTATGAAGACAAGAACGAGGCAAATTAATGGTAAGAAGAATAAAACTAATATTACTAACTTGCAATTCCACATCAATGGATTGGATCAGGTATAATATAGTCAATGCATGTAACCTAAGTGTGACCTAAGGGGCTGAACAGATGTTTGGGGGAAAAACTAATGATGGGGTGGGCAGTTTTGGGGAACACACGTACATTCCCTTCCCAGTTTTTCTGTGGTCACTGAAGCTTGTGACAGAAATTATTAGTTTTTGTAAATCATCTCAATGATTGTAGGTGCAGACTGGTCTTCCAATTATGTGTACACATAAAATCAAAATATATGCGTGCATGTTGGAATCAGCCCATGTAGAAAAAGTGATCTGACAGGCAAAATGATGATGAAGGCTTAGAAAAGATGATTAGAAGTTAAATATTACATTGTGGTTCACATAATAATTAAAAAAAAGGATTGATGTCTGTCTTCTTAAATAAAATAATGAAGAAAGATAACTCGGTAGACCAAAATTTAGTAGCAAAGTGCCAAGAATATGGTAGGCCATGGCATACATCTTTTTGATCCCTCTCAGTTCATTTTTCTGTGAAGGAAACCCTAATTCCACTCATCTTAAAATTGCTAAGGTTGACAAACACTGCTCTAGAGCAGAGTCCCCAACTTTTTCGGCTTTGTGGACCAGTGGGGAGGGAAGGGAGACGGGATGGTTATGTGTGAGGAGTGGGCACATGGGCACGCCACCCACTGCTTCCACAAATGAAGCGTGCACACGCTCGCCTGCTGTTTGTGCAAGTGGGGGGATGCACGCATGCGCGCCCACCCACCACTTCTGCAGACAGGTTCCGAATGGCTCAAGGCCCAGAGGTGGGCCACAGCCCGGGGGTTGGGGATTACTGCTCTAGAGGAAAGGACGATGAAATAATAATCTATTAATGTAGAATCAGTAACTGGGCTGCAGCACGACTGTTAATTAGAGGAACTACTCCAATTTACCACTGATTAATTGTGATCATTCCTATCCTTCCCTGTCTCCCGAGTGATCTTTATATTAATAATCACACACATTTTTTAAAAAAAATATCTATATTTTTGTTTTGTTTTTAAAGCTACTGGTTGTAACTATGCAATAAAAGATAATATTACATGTTCACATGCAGCCACCCACCATCTGCAGAATGTTTAAATCAATATTGTTTAGGTCTCTCAGCCCATCTACTTTTGACAGAGAGATCAAACAAAACAGAATAACCATTTATGGTTATAAAGGCAAAAGCTTTGGGGCAGCTGAAAATAATGCTGCTTTGTAGGTTTAGAGGGAAAAACTAAGAATGTTTACTCAGTAGCTGATACTTATTTAAGAACGTTGCAAACTGCATTTCATATTATTTATCCCAGGGCTGCTTACCATGCAAATTGAAGCAAAACAAAACAATAACATTTATCATAAAAAATAAAACCACAAAAAGAATTTAAATTCAAATTAAAGCAGCCCTTTGAAAACTTGATATTTGAATCCTAGGCTGTTGAAGGCTACAAAAATTGAAAAATGAATCTATCCAACAGACACTTTGCAAAATTGGCAGCATAGTGTCCCAGAAAACCAAGTAAAACTTTGACTGCTATATTTTTGAACAAAGGCTGTAGCTATTGAACTACAATTGACAACAAAGAAATCTCTAGAGTTATGTACAAAAGATTTCAGTGTACAGATTACAGTACTACGATACTTAGGTTGCATAGACAATTAGTTGGCAGCAAAGAAACACTGAAAGCTAATTTTTTGGTGTTACCTAGTGATTGTCTGATTTACTTTTGCAACCCAGATGTTATACAAAAAAAAAAAAAGAGAACCAGTTTGGTCTAGATATTAAGGTACACGACTAGAAACTGGGAGGCTGTGAGTTCCAGTCCTGTCTTTCGCATAGAAGTTGGTTTGGTGCTTTGGGCCAGTCATTCTGCCACAAGGCCTCAGTCTACAGCATTAAGCTTGGAAGAGAAGCCATTTGTTCAATTCCTACAACTAATAGAACAATACTTGGTTGACTCAAAAAAAATAGATGTTTGGAACAAAAAAGTAGTTACAGGCAAGGGATGGGCTGCACCTCACAAAAACAGGGAAAATATACTCAGAAAAAGACTGGCCCAACTCATCAGGACCACTTTAAACTAAAATTGAGGGGGGAGTATGACCAATCATTAGAATCTCTAAAACCCAAAACCAATCATGAATCCCAAGAAAACAAATCAAACAATGAGGTAGGCAGAGACGAGAAAAAAGAAAAACCCAAACAACAATCAGGAGATGCAGGAGACAAGTCCACGAACAGGCATAAAAGTCTTAAATGCTTATATACAAATGCTCAAAGCATGGGGAACAAACAGGGCGAACTAGAAGCAATAGTACACAGGGGAGGATATGACATAGTTGGCATTACAAAAACCTGGTGGGACGAAACCCAGCAATGGAATGGACTGATGGATACAAATTATAGGTAGGAAAAAACAAAGGTACGAGTACAGATTGGGCAAGACCTGGCTTAAAAACAGTAACTGTGAGAGGGACCTTGGAGTCCTAGTGGACGATCACTTAACCATGAACCAGCAGTGTGCAGCAGCAGCCAAAAAAGCTAATACAATCCTTGGTTGTATAAACAGAGGCATAGAATCAAAATCACGCAAAGTATTAGTACCGGTTTATAAAACCCTAGTAAGACCACATGTGGAATACTGCAGCCAATTTTGGTCATCATATCACAAAAAAGATGTTGAGAGTTTGGAAAAAATTCAGAGAAGAACTAAGATGATCAAAGGCTTGGAGACTAAAACATACGAAGAACGGCTACAGGACTTGGGTTTGGCTGGTCTAAAGAAAAGAAGAAATAGGGGAGACATGATAGCAGTATTCCAGTATTTGAGGGGCTGCCACAAAGAAGGGGGGTCACATTATTCACCAAAGACCAGGGAGCAGGACAAGAAACAATGGTTGGAAACTGATCAAAGAGAGAAGCAAGCTGGAATTAAGAAGAAACTTCCTGATAGTGAGGACAATTAACCAGTGGAAGAGCTTGCCCCCAGAAATCGTGGGCGCTCTATCACTGGAGATTTTAAAGAAGAGAGTAGACAGTCACTTGTCTGAGATGGTATAGGTTCTCCTGCTTGAGCAGGGGGCTAGATTAGAAGACCTCCAAGATCCCTTCCAGCTCTATTCTATTCTATTCTATTCTATTCTATTCTATTCTATTCTATTCTATTCTATTCTATTCTATTCTATTCTAACTAATTGCTATTGCTATAATCAGAGTAGCAATATTCTGTTATTATAGCCAATAAACATAGTTTTAGCCTTCCTGTGGTCAACTAAAGGACGAGACCGAGTAGACCACCTCACGGTGACGGACTTCAATAGACTTAGAGTTACATTAAAAAGGATCTTTGAGGTCATCACTTACATGACGTGACTTATGTTATACAAACGTTCACCAGTATTATTTACGAATCTTTATCGACGTCAAATAACGGAGAATTACAAGTTCAGACTGAGGAGAGTCGGTTATGTGCTTAGGCGGTGTCTGCAAAAACATGTGATGATGATTAATGGTTCACATTAAGGAGAAGGTTGGGAACCATTGACTTAATTGATTAACAGCCTTATAATGTTGACTCCAAAATAAATAAAGTAATGACATAATCCCCAACAAGAATTTATATGAATATACATTTGTGGGATCAGATGAGTGTTAAGAGATGTACATTAATATTTTCTACCTGGCCAGAACTCATATATAGCTGAATAGGGGTGATGAACAATACCATTAAAGTTGTCTGGTCCCATATCAAAAAAGTTATTCAAGAGCAGACATGGTTAAGAGTTGTCTAGTGCTGTCAGACTTAGTCATCTGGAATGTCCAAAAATCATTCTGGGAAAAGGCAATAGAAAATTTTTATGGTAAGACATGGCCATATCCGGTAGTGAGATTCAGCCGGTTCGCACCGGTTCAGCAGAACCGATACCTAATTTTTTGTTGAGTTCGGCAAACTGGTTATGATAAATCTGTGTTTTCCAGAACACATCTGGTTTTTGTTCAACTTCCTTCCAGGCAGGGGGAAAAAAACCCTCCCCAAAAGTCCGAGAGGAGCAACGGAAACCAAATGGAGACACAGCGCCTTCGATCACGTCACTCAGGGGAAAACTAGGTAGTTTTTCTCAGAGGTAATTTCAGGAATAGAGGCTTCATCTCTCTAGTTTCCTGATTGGTGCATATGGGAAAGGGAGTGAGGCTATCAAGTATTAGCTGGGGCTGTGGCTCTGGAACTTTTTCCTGTCTAGCTATATAGAGCGCAACTAATGATGAGCGGGAAAGCTCTTAAAGGGTTCTGTGATTTCATATATTAAACTCTAGTGTAGTTCTTTGTAGCAGAATGGGCTTTCCCATTTTATACCAAGACCTATGATTTAAATTTAAATAGCAGAATTTCAATTTCATATATCAAACCTTAGTTTAGTGTTTTAATATAATAAGCACCGTTTAAGTGACAGGTGCTATTTCAAATGGTCATTAGGGCAGAGAGCTGGTTGTTAAATTATTTGAATCCCACCACTGGACATATCTATATGGTCACCACATTATTCAGTCTGGTTTCTTCCAGTTGTTAGATCATCTCCCTGCTAGGACAGGGAGGAAGCATGATCTAAGGCAGGGATCCCCAACCCCTAGGCTGCGGCCTGTTCGCAACTGGGCTGCAGAAAAAGCGTGCATGTGAAGCTCCACTCATGTAAGCAGAGACCACTTATGCTGACGGGCGAAGCTCCACTCATGTGAGAGGAGAGCACTCGCACGCGAAGCTCCACTCGAGTGAGCAGATGACCACTTACACTTGCATGCGAAGCTCCATTTCCACAAATAGAGTTTCATGTGCAAGTGTTCTCTGCTCACACGAGTAGAGTTTCATGCACAAGCACAAGTGTCTAATGCTCGTCCGAGTGGAGCTTTGCGCACGAGTGCAAGCACCCTCTGCTCATGTGCAAAGCTCCACTCACATGAGCAGAGGGCACTTGCACTCTCACGAGAAGCTCCATTTGCGCAAATGGAGTTTTGTGCAGAAGTGCCCTCCGCTCGTGCAAGTGGAGCTTCGTGTGCGAGCACAAGCGCCCTTCGCTCGTGTGAGTGCCTGTTGCTCACGCACTAAGCTCCATTTGTGAGAGTGGAAGGCATGCACCACTTGCACAAATGGAACTGTGCGCATGCGCCTACCACTCACATGCTTCTCCTGTGCTGGGCGGGCCACCAAACTGGGAAGGTTGGAGACCGCTGATCTAAGGTGTACAAATATGATAAAATATATTAATTTAGAAAAAAAAAATTTTTGCAGGTGAGCTCTGTGTAGAACAGTATTTCTCAGCCTTGGCAAATTTAAGTCGTATGGACTTCAGCTCTCAGAACTGCCCTGCTGGCTATGCTGGCTGGGGAATGCTGGAAGCAAAGGTTACATGTCTTAAAAGTTGCCAAGGTTGAGAAACACCGAATGTATATACTTACATGATGCGGCAAAACACTCTAATCTTGCAGTTTGGAAGCTTCAGGATAGCCTTGGGAAATTTTGCTCTGACCTACATATTTTAGCTGATTATACAGTTTATTACACTTGATTCTGAAAACACATCATTTTTCAGGAAAAATAGCTATTCCAACGGCAAACTAAACTCATTGTATTGTCAACAGTGACATCTTGTGGTCATCTAGGGGACAAAGAAATCAGCCTAATAATAAAGAGAAAAGGAACTCGGCTCAGCCTTATATTTAGGTTAATTAAATATTGATTAGTTACAGGGAAAAGAACTGAAGCCTAAGCTGCAGAAGTAAGTAGAAAATGTTCTTTAAACCCAAGACAGCCTCCATTTGGCTGAACAATTAATCACCAAGAGCTAGCAGTTTCATCCAAAAGAAAATGCAATGTTTCATAGTCATATCTTCATGAAACCCGGACTCCAAATCTTGTCAAGCTTTTAATACAAGAACTTGACCTCCTGAATATTAATCTAAGGCTTGTCTGAGAGCATATTCTGGACACTCAGACAAAATGGCTGCTAATGAGGGATAAAATGAGGACAAAATGGTGAGGTGGTTCTTCACGAGAGTTTCTAGCTCACAGGATGTATTCTTTTCTAAGTTTACCTTCAACATTCCCTATCCCATGAGCACATTTACAAAAAAAAAAAATCCTAATACAAGAACCCATAATTTTTTTTTCATATTAATATCTGCAGGTATTATGAGGAACCTGAGGCATTTTTCTAAATATAGTGGCAAAAAGTTGGGACTTTGTTTTGCAACTTGTCCACTTCATTTTGTTTAATTAAAGACACTATAAGGAGTGGGGGTGGGAGGGGGAAATTAAAATTTGGTAGGGCAATCAACTAGGCAGCCTCCACTGGAGATGACTGTAGAATCATATTTGGAATCCCAGGTCTAACCAAATAAGAACATTCAAGCATCTTTAACAAGAACCTACCTTCCCTGCGGGCATCTGCCACTATCTTGGCTGAAGACTTACTCATCACATGTACAACATAGAGAGGACAATTCACTGAGTTTGCAATAGTAATTGCTCTCAATGTGGCTTCTGCTTCCACTTCTTCTGGTCGGGCCATTTCATGTCCTTCTGGACCAGTTATTCCCAAAGCCAGCATCTTCTTTTCACCCTATATGTAGTAGACCAGCCATAGTGAATACATTACCAGATTTGGTCAACAAATGTCTGTAAACATTACAGTCCCATTCATTTGCTTGCCATGGAACAGGAAGTTTTACTCCAAGTTTCCCAACAACTAAACTGATTATACCATGATACTGAGAATCCAGTAAACCAATTGCATTATATTCGACTTCTAGGTGAGAAACTACTTAGGTCCAAGCTACAGGTTACACGAACAAGTGCAGAATTTGTCTGACAAAGAAAAGTCAGAATGAATGAGCTAGTGTTGTTTATAGGGATTGAGTGTGTGTCAAATGAGTAGGTGTACCAAAGCATTGTTGTGCTGTTGTTGATGCAAACCCTACCCTTTTGTATGGGCTGTCACACACATCCCAAAATGGCAGAGCTTGCAGCCCAAAACTGTTTTCATTATTTTGACAACAGCAGCTGGATCCTGTAGGTCAGTGGTGGCGAACCTATTGAACGGGTGCCAGAGGCGGCACTCAGAGCCCTCTCTGTGGGCACGCGTGCCGTCGTCCCAATCCTAGGCCTTCAGCTGGGTTTTATAAAACCTTTTTGCTTTAGACCTCTGCCGCCATGTGCAAAAAAAAAAAAAAGGTTCAATTAGTCAATTTCAACTTCTCGCGGGAAAAAAAGATATTGCAAAGTTGGAACTGGTGATTGAACTTTTTAGTCCCACCCAATGGGCCACACCCCGCCAATGGGCCACACCCACCCGGCACTCAATGCATAAGTGGGTTTTGGGTTGCAGTTGCACCTATGACAGATTCAGTATCTCAGTCTAGAGTAAAGATTATTCCTACTGGCTATTTCTGAAGAGCAAATTATGTAATTAGCTTTTTGTTTGGCTTGGTTCTTTCTGGATGAATGAAAGATTAATTACTGATATAAAAGGAAATAAGTACGCACGGGGAAAAAAATCCCATGACTTTAATTAGTGAATTCCTTAAAGGAAATAAGTACACATTTATTTCCTTTAAGAAATCCAAAAATAAAGTCATTATTTAATTACTTTAATTAGTGGATTTCTTAAAGCACTGGCATCTTTCTTTTTAAGGCTATGATGGACAACTGGAAAAAGACAGACTCCTTTAATGGCTGGCAGAGATGAAGTGCCCTTTCTTGTGATCCTAAATACTTCCTCCAAATCATTTGCAAAGCATGAACATAATGGATGTATTTGTAACTGCTGAGTGCTTAGTTTACATGCACATACATACATTGTGACAGGTGCATGTAGTGGAATTAGGGTGGTTAAGGAGTATGTATGTGTGCTAATTTTTCTCTTCTCCATGGTTTCCTGCATTTTAGTCAAATACATTTTCAGCAAATTTCATCCATTGGATTATTATTCTTTGAGATTGATAAATTTGGGCACCCAGAGTGATGGAAGTTATATAATAGAATATTGTAGTTCCAGCATCCAACAATAAAACAAGCTTGGAAATACACCTGAGAAATTCAAAAGAGATCCTTAGGCATCCTGAGTGTAAGTTGGAACAACCTAAGTTCTTTGCAGTAGAAGAAGTCCTGAGAAATTGCAAGGCGAACTGTGGCCGTTGACCTGTATAGGCACCCTGATTGAATAAAGCAAAGTACAGATAGAAATTGGACTGCTTTTTTCAAGCAGACATAAACACCCCAAAGGGAATAAGAAGGAACTTGGAGACATTGGAGTGTCGGGTTTCTTTGCCCCTCCATGTATAAATATCTGTATGCATGAGAGGGTACTATTAGGGCTGTGGAAGTCTTGGATGCTCTGCTTTGACGGAGATCCCATCTCCAAGACTAAAATGATCAGGATGCACCTTCTCTGATTGCCTCAATTGCCACTGAGCATTGCAGGGCAAGACTGTGTAGTGAGGCTAATGCCTTATCAAACAATTTGTGGAGCTTCAATCATGTAGTTGCAAGCCACCATCTTGACCTTTTAAAACACACCCTTCCCCAGATGCTTCTATAGGGTCCTTGATGTTCTCTGATCTTGATTGTATTCTTGCAGATGTTTCATTACAAAACTAGGTAACGTTATCAGTGTATTTTACCACTGTGCATTACCAAACTAACATCAACATGAGCACTGACAATGTTATCTAGTTTGTAAGGAAACGTCTACGAGAAAACAATCAAGGTCAGAGAGCACCAAGGCTCCCACAATTCAACCCTGAGCTACAAATATCTATCAGTACCCTGTTCAACTAAAAGAATTGTACCATCCCATGGAACAATATCCTTTAGCACAGTGGTTCTCAACCTGTGGGTCGGGACCCCATTTGGGGTCGATCGACCATTTCATGGGGATCGCCAAGCAAGGCTGTCCGCCATTATTTTTGTCCATTTTTTTTGTCCGCCATTTTTTTCCCTTTTCCGGCGGGTGCCTTACCTCCCTTGGGCTGGGCCAGCTGGTGGTCAGCCTGCTCCATCTCTGCTGCTTGCCAGCTACGCCTCGGCCAGCGCAGGGGGCGGAACCACGCATGCACGGCGCTCCCGGGCAGGGAAAGTTGACTTACGACCGGTTGGGTAGTCCTCGACTTACTACCAGTTTAGTCCTCGACTTACGACCGGTTTAGTCCTCAACTTATGACCGGTTTAGTCCTCGACTTACGACCGGTTGGGGTCGTGGCATTAAAAAGGTTGAGAACCACTGCTTTAGCAAGAGGAATCCAAAACCATCTCACAAAGGCCCAGTAATTGCTGAATATATCACATATACAGTAGATTATAATTGCAGGCTACTGACGAGATCATCTTTAACATGGGTATTACCTCTGCAATCAAATCTCCATTCTCCGCATGAACTTGAGCAATTGCACCAATTTGTTTACATTGACTGAAGATTGTGTGTAATTCTACATCTCCAACCATATAGAGATCTTTATATGCCATAAACATTTTAAATGAATTGACACCCTTTTCCCTGGTAAGAATTTTCATTTCCTCTTTGACCTGAAAAAAAAAGTAAAAAATACCTTAAATGTCTCTGGCATTCAACTCCTCAATTTGTTCTATGCATAGTACTGAAAGTTTTTCTAGTTCTTTTTAAATCAACGTATCTAACTATGATCGTTCCTGTTTCATTGTTACTCCCATAATCATTTCTGTAACAGTAATTTTTCATTTAAAATCATCTACAGCAGTAAAATATAGTTGTAATTCTCCTTAATAAGGTGGGGAAAAGAAAGACTGCTCCACTGATTGTAGAAAAGGCTTCCAAGAGTTATTAAAACTGTAATTACTGAGAAATTCAGTTTTAATTATAAGAAGAAAAAAAACTCACATGGGACATGTCATTTCTTCCTGCATCAACCAATTATTGGTATCTTAGATTGACTTAATCACCAGAAGGTATGTTGAAGGCTATAAGCTAAGATGGCTTTAAGGGGGATTAGACAAATTTAAGAAGAATAGATATATTTGTTGAAACATTTCCTAAAACATTTGTATGATTAAGCACTGCCCTTTAGTGACATTAATTATTTTTATAGTTGAGTGTAGAAATCCCTTACATTTCTTGGGAAATTATTATCTGGGGTTATCCACGTGAAAATCAGTAAGTGGGTACTCCAGCACTGGAAGTTTTTAAGAATAATTGGACAACCCTTTTCCAGAATGGTGTATGGCAGGGGTAGGCAACCTTGGCTCTTTTATGACTCGTGGACTTCAACTCCCAGAATTCCTGAGCCAGCACAGCTGGCTCAGGAATTCTGGGAGTTGAAGTCCACGAGTCATAAAAGAGCCAAGGTTGCCTACCCCTGGTATATGGTCTCCTGCTTGAGCAAGGGTTGGACTAGAAGACCTCCAAGGACTCTTCCAACTCTATTATTCTGTTAAGAGTATGCAGTTTTTCATGAGTGACATGCTATATACCAACTTGCAATGAACATTTCTAGGACAGATCATGTCTTAATTCCAAACAATAGTTATGGAAAAGCATTTAACTATTTCCAAATGGGTGAGTTCCAGATGTTTTGGGATTGCAACATCCCATACAATCCAGGAAGGGCTTTGATGATGTTGAAATGGGAGATGTGACCAGATGATGAAAGCCCTGCCTTCGTTTATATGTTCTTGAGTTTCCAAGGAACTGTTGGCTGAACAATCCTAGGAGATTTATTTATTTAAAAAATGTATATAGCTGTCTATCTTCTAACCAACTCTGGGTGGCTCCCAATCAAAAGTTAAAACAGGATACAAAACCATATTGAAATTATAAAATCAAAAACATTAAAAATAACAGAAACCTGTCACCAAGACAGGTTTCTAATGTCCAGTTATCCAACTTTATCCCGATGTGTGAGGAAAAAACCAGATCTTCAAAGCTTTATGGAAGGCTAGAAGGGTGGAGGTCTGCCAAACTTCAGGGGCAGAGTGTTCCATAGGGCAGGGGCTATCTTGGAAAAGGCAGGCTTCCTAGCTGCCATCATAGGGCAATATTTAGGGGCTTAGGACAGGGGTAGGCAACCTCGGCTCTTTTATGACTCATGGACTTCAACTACCAGAATTCCTGATTCAGGAATATGCTGATTCAGGAATTCTGGGAGTTGAAGTCCATGAGTCATAAAAGAGCCGATGTTGCCTACCCCTGGCTTAGGAGCATGCCTGCCATATCTGACCTGGTAGATTTCCTTAGGGAAAGGTGGTCCTACGGATGATTTTATGCATAAACCATCAGAAGAAGGCCAGATTAGGAAAGGCTAGTTTAAAGATTGGGTTTTGTCCACATTGTTAAATAACCCACAATCCCACATTAATATTGTATGCAAATTAAAAAAAATGTTCTAGTTTTTGCAGCTCTTTGAATGTTGCAATGTACTTTTCAGACCTCAATCTATCCTGGCTGGCTAGGAAATTCTTAAAGTTACCAAGGTTGAGAATCACAGCCTTACACTCAATAAACTGTCCTCAAGGCTGAGAGAGTTGCACTTGTATGCTCCAGTTCTCATATGTTTGAGTCAAGCCAATGACTCTTGGTACTTGTGCCCAGGAAAATGGCAAGCCTTTTGTTTCTGTGGCACTGTACCATCCAAGTTGCATGCTGGACTTCCTCAAAGAAATGAATGTAAAGCTGATGTTCTGCCTACCCTACCTGCTCACTGCACCATGTGACGGCCACATGTAGTGCATAATCACAGACGACTTTAGGATCAGCCCAGCTCCTCCACTGGTTATAGGCTTCAATGAGGGAACAGCCTTTGTCAGGGATTGCAAAATCGATTATCATAGTGGTACCTCCTGCAAGGGCAGCCTGAAAAGGAGAGGTTGCAGTTAAATATTTACTTTGTCATTGAGCAATGAATAATATTAGAACTACAACAATTTAGAAGCATTCCCGACAAGAAAGGAACCTGTCTATAAGCTATGAAAAAATAGCAAAATTAATGATACAAAGCTATAATATTATTGTATCACTAAAATCTATATATAAAGATTGTAAAATAATAATAGCAACAGCAACAGCAACAGCAACAGCAACAACAACAACAACAACAACAACAATAATAATAATAATAATAATAATAATAATAATAATAATAATAATAATAATAATAATGTTGGAAGAGACCTTGGAGGTCACCTAGTCCAACCTCCTGCTCAGGCAGGAAACCCTATACCATTTCAGACAAATGGCTGTCCACTCTCTTCTTAAAAATTTCCAGTGTTGGACTGGAATTTATGTCCACATTAAGAATATAATGTCTCTTTTTTATGACCCAGTAATCCATTAATTCAGGGTAGAGTTAGGGTGACTGGGTGGATCTAATATAATATAAAATTCTGTAGTATACATGTAAATTTATGAAAAGTTATAGAAAGTTAAAAATCAGAATTTCTAACACAATATGAAATTACCATAGAACTAAAATTATTATATATAAATCATAATATTAACATTAAAATATGTAAGTAATATACAGTACACTAGAGTACAAAAAAAGTTAAAATCATACATGCAGTCAATTTAAAAAATAGCTAGAAAAAAACTTTAAGAAACCTAAAAGACATGTGATAAGCCAATCTCCCTGGCTTGAGGGAATAACCAATTTTTCACTAATTTTCCTAAAAGCTGGAAAGGGACCGATCACACATCTGGGGGCTACTAAAACATAAAAGTCTTTAAGGGGGAGCAACCAGCACCTTCAATTGCACTCAGAAGATGACTGGCCAAAAGTGCAGCTGTGAAAGCTAAGGTATTATGTGGGCCCTTGATATAGAGGTAGTCCTTGATTTACAACCATTTGTTTAACAACTGTTCGAAGTTGCAACAACATTGAAAAAGTGATTACCACTGGTCCTCACACTTATGACAGTTGCAGCCTCCTGGGATCATGTGATCACCATTTGCGACCTTCCTAGCCTGCTTTGAACAAACACAGTCAATAGGAGATGCTGGATTCACTTAACAACTGCAGTGATTTGATTGATAACTATGGCAAAAACCATGGCTGTAAAACTGGGTGCAATCCATTTAACAACTGCCTTGCAGGGGGTTGGACTAGAAGATCTCCAAGGTCCATTCCAACTCGTCATTCTGTTGTTCTGTTGCATTCTGGACCAGCTATAGCTTTGAAATACTCTTCAAGGGCAAAAGCATCTCCTCAGTTAAGTGAGGAAATGTTTTAAAGATGCACCGGGTATAAAGCAAAGTTCTCCACACCGGAATGCTTTCATATGAATATCCATGCATGTGTTCAAGACTATGTGTGGCGTCAAAGGCTTTGCCTGGGAATTTCTGCAGCATTTATGTGTTACTGAGCCTCACCAGGCCAGATGGTCTGCAGATAAGGAAGAAGGGAGCCAGAAGCACCTAAGGCACACAATTAGTGGGAACTATTTTCCGAGTGACTGCTGAGCTGGAAAAATAAATCTGTGTCTCAGCAGAACAATAACAGAAGTGGAAATGATGACTTTGAAATATGGCAGTTGCGACCCAGAAGAGTAAAGCAAAGCCCCTTAGGGGCTCTGAGGGTTTCACGTGAAATACCTTTATCCGGTCTCAGGGAAATATATCAGTTGAAGAACCAGAGAAGGGAAGGTAGATTGTTAGACCCCAACATTAATATGGGCAGAGAAGATTCAAGAACACCAGAGAGAAGAAAGCCAATGGAATGAATAAGATACCAAGGCAGACAAAGCTTGCAGTTCATGATTGCTGAAAAAGGCACCCGGATGAAAAGGACAGTTGCTTTCTTAATGGTGCACATCCCTCCAGGATGAGTGGTGGCACTGTGTAATTCTGGTATTTTTTCTAATCAAACTGCTTCATAGAAGAAAAGAAGCAGAACTGAAATAGCCTTGACAAAGTGCTATTGATGCTATATGTCAGTGGTGGCGAACCTATGGCACGGGTGCCAGAGGCGGCACTCAGAGCCCTCTCTGTGGGCACGCGCGCTGTTGCCCCAGTCCTAGGCCTTCAGCTGGGTTTTATAAAACTTTTTCGCTTTAGGCCTCCGCCGCTGTGTGCAAAAAAAAAAAAAAAGTTCAATCAGTCAATTTAATCTTCTCACGGGAAAAAAAAAGATCTTGCAAAGTTGGAATTGATTAATTGAACTTTTTAGTCCCACCCAGTCTGCCGTTACCACTGCAGCCATGCCCACCCAATGGGCCACACCCACCCAATGGGCCACACCCACCCGGCACTCAACAATGCATAAGTGGGTTTGGGGTTGAAGTTTGGGCACTCGGTCTCTAAAAGGTTCGCCATCACTGCTATATGTGGAAACCATATTGGCTTTTGTCTTCATTGGTTAGAGAATAGCTAAGTGTATATGTGCTCTTAATTTTAAGGTTGCTTTGGGGCAGGGGTCTTCAAACTTGGCCCTTTTATGACTTGTGGACTTCAAATCCCAGAATTCCTCAGCCAGTTTGCCTGGCTGAGGAATTCTGGGAGTTGAAGTCCACAAGTCATAAAAGGGCCAAGTTTGAAGACCCCTGCTTTGGAGGGTACTTTTAAGAAAACAGCTTGTAAATGGAATTGACTGCATCCTGTTAAGAGCAATGGGAACCAACTTGGCCTAGAAAGAAAGCTAGAGTCAGATTTAAATGACTATATTTTGCAATGAACTACCCAATTTTTCCGAAATCTCTAAAACAGACTAAATTATTACTTTCTTCCTACTCTTAACTAACTATAGTATCAACTATTAATAATCCCTTGTTTGAACAAATCCTCAATTTTTCTAAAATATCTGCATCTCACTACTTTACTATCTTGTGCACAAATTTTTATCTATACACAAAAAAAGGAACTATACTATTATTTTAAATATGATAATTATTTTGAAATAGAGAGAGAATTTCTGTTTGATTTAATAATGAATGAAGGCAGGGAATTTCTTGACATTATACTTGATAAGTATTTAAAGGTGTAAACTTTACAAAAGGGCTTAAAGAGATTTTTTATAGATGTGGATTGATGAAATGATAGAATATATTTTAAAAAATAGAACTGTATTTGTTGGATTTATATTATTATTTTAAACGTGAAAAATACGCTGTAATAGAGAGAGAGTAAGAGCCATTTGTGATAGGGAAAAAATTAGTTTTAATGAACGATCTATTATTAAGGATACCTGATGGCTGATGTGTCTATGTTTCCAGGAATTCCTAAGCATGGAACCAGACAAGCAATCAAGCAAAAAAAAAAAAGAAGCCTTAATCAAGGAACTACCAAGGAGAAAACCTTGGTAGGTTTACTCCCATCAACACTGGTAGGGCAAACTACAAACCCCATACTCACTAGCACTGATGATGTTATCTAGTTGGGTAATGAAATGTCTGTAAGCAAAGAATCAAGCTTAGAGAGCACCAAGGTCTCCATAGTTCCACCCTGAGCTATGTATGTTCATTATGACAGTTCAATAACACTTCGTGCAACTTATTTATTTTTACCCTGACTTTATTATTTCATAAATAACTCAAGGTGGTGAATATACCTAATCCTTCTTCCTCCTCCTATTTCCTCCTCAACAACCCTGTAAGTTAGATTGGACTGAGAGAGATGACTGGCTCAAAGGCACCCAGCTGGCTTTCATGCCTAAGGTGGGACTAGAACTCATAGTCTCCTGGTCTCTGAATTAAAATTGCATTGTTCTTTAATGTATTTTCAAGGCGATGTGATGAACTCAAATGGTAATAACTTACTTATAATAATAATAATAATAGTAAAGTTGGAAGGGACCGCCTTCTGCCGCAGGTTACCTCCCATCGGCCGGTACGCTCCCACAGAGTGGGTCTCCTCAGGGTGCCGTCAGCCAGACAGTGCCGGCTGGCGACCCCCAGGGGGAGGGCCTTCTCGGTGGGAGCCCCCACCCTCTGGAACGAACTACCCCCAGAGATCCGGGTGATCCCGGATCTCCCCTCCTTCCGCCGCGCCCNTGATATAAAACGTTACTTGATGGGTTAAAAAGGCTTTAGAGATTTTGTCTGATTTAATAATGAAAGAAGGATGAGAATTGATTGATATCATAGTTGATAATTATTAGGGAACAAACTTGTTTAGGAGTTAAAAAGATTTTATAGACGTAGAGTGATGAAATGATAGAACACGTGTTTAAAAATAGATATGTGTTTTTTTTGGAACTATACTATTATTTTAAATATGATAATTATTTTGAAATAGAGAGAGAATTTCTGTTTGATTTAATAATGAATGAAGGCAGGGAATTTCTTGACATTATACTTGATAAGTATTTAAAGGTGTAAACTTTACAAAAGGGCTTAAAGAGATTTTTTATAGATGTGGATTGATGAAATGATAGAATATATTTTAAAAAATAGAACTGTATTTGTTGGATTTATATTATTATTTTAAACGTGAAAAATACGCTGTAATAGAGAGAGAGTAAGAGCCATTTGTGATAGGGAAAAAATTAGTTTTAATGAACGATCTATTATTAAGGATACCTGAATTCCCAACTATATGTCTATTGAAATGTAACTGGAATAAGACGATTGCAATTAGTAAAGCTTAAAACAGGATATAGATTATCATAATTGCAAGGGGATTGAGGATCTTTGTTTGATTGAAATTTATCTAAAATTGTATTAATTTTAATTTTAATAAGTAATATTATTATGACTTTGTTTTTGAATGATTTGACACTCTGACCACCACATTGTGTCCTAAGCTTTTGTATAAAAAAATGGAAAAAACCAATAAAACTTTTATAAAAAAAGAAAAGAAAAAAAAGAGCAATGAGTGAAGGGCTATTTAATTGGTTTTTCACATTGTCTCACATATGCCAGCAGGAATTGAAATAATTATTTCTGTATCATTACTTATTTATTTATATTTATTAACCAAATTTATACAGCCATCCATCTTTCCCAAAGGGGATTCTGGGCAGCACACAATAAATAAAATAGATTTTTTTAAAAAAATCTAATAACACAAAAGTAACATTAAAAAAAAAATACTAACCCTAGGCAAAAGGGAGGATAAAAATGGCTCTCTCAGGTCCCCTGGGCCTGGCAGTATTACCAGGTCTGGAGAGCCTTATGAAAAATCAAAGGGATAGAACTGATCCCATTAGCAGATTAATTCCTGTTTATCTGGGTGTTGGCTGTTGAAGAAGATGTGTTCTAATCTTTTTGTTTCCTTTTTAGTTTTTTTTGTTGTCTCTTTGGAGGTATGTAAATGTGGTTTATCTATATGTGTTTAGTGATGGCTGATGTGTCTATGTTTCCAGGAATTCCTAAGCATGGAACCAGACAAGCAATCAAGCAAAAAAAAAAAAAAAGCCTTAATCAAGGAACTACCAAGGAGAAAACCTTGGTAGGTTTACTCCCATCAACACTGGCAGGGCAAACTACAAACCCCACACTCACTAGCACTGATGATGTTATCTAGTTGGGTAATGAAATGTCTGTAAGCAAAGAATCAAGCTTAGAGAGCACCAAGGTCTCCATAGTTCCACCCTGAGCTATGTATGTTCATTATGACAGTTCAATAACACTTCGTGCAACTTATTTATTTTTACCCTGACTTTATTGTTTTCATAAATAACTCAGGGTGGTGAATATACCTAATCCTTCTTCCTCCTCCTATTTCCCCCACAACAACCCTGTAAGTTAGATTGGACTGAGAGAGATGACTGGCTCAAAGGCACCCAGCTGGCTTTCATGCCTAAAGTGGGACTAGAACTCATAGTCTCCTGGTCTCTGAATTAAAATTGCATTGTTCTTTAATGTATTTTCAAGGCGATGTGATGAACTCAAATGGTAATAACTTACTTGTGATAGGAGCCTCAACCAATAGATACAGACCTTTGCTTCTTTCCAAATTAAAGTGTCAAATGATTGTTCCTCTTTACTAAATTAAAAATAAAAGCTGATTATGAGACTTTATCTCCTGACCATCTAGAACAGGGGTGTCAAACTGCCGGTCCGTGGGCCAGACACGACACGCGGAAGCCGCACCCACCCCATTGCCGGCAATGGCAAAACAGTCTCGATACGTTGCGTGACATCATGTGACATCGCGAGTTTGACATGTCTGATCTAGAAGTTGTGGGTGGTGATCATCCAAACATTAAACTGGTTTTCAGGAAACAGTTTGGGAGGCTAAGTGTTAGAGGAGAGAGCTGGATTCCACATGACCTGCTCTGCACTCCTAATTCAATTTTGGTCCCCAGGTTTCAGTGTAGATTAACCTCGTTCTGTCACCTTTTCCAAGTGGAACAGAAGCTGTGTCAGCTCTGTCCTCTTCACCTTGGACAGCCAACTCTCCTGATTATGAAATTAAAACTTCCATTAACCCTAGTGAACATAATCAATGGTCAACAATGATGGCAGCTATAGACTAACAATATCTGGAGAACTAAACATTGCCCCTTTCATAAAGTGGCTCTCATTATTCCATTATTCACAGCCCCAGATTATTATTGGCATTGTGAGCAATATCCCTGGAGTTATACTTTTGAACTCAGACAATTTGTTGGTTTGTATTAACTCATGCAAAATAGAAATCGTATTTCATAATTCAGTTGTGGAAGGAAAATAGGTTTGATGGCAACATATACCAGCTATAGTGACTATTTCTTTAGGTGGCCATAGGTGCTACCCAAAATATTCAGTGCATGGAACAACTGGATTTTGGAGCACGAAAATGGAAAGAAACATTTTAAAAAGTATTGGGTATGTAAAGAATGAAAGAATGTGTTCTTAATACACATAAAACAGTTGTTTAAAAAAGTGTATGTATGCATGATGGAGGTGGGGTAAGAAGACCTGGTTGGTGATAGCCGAGGAAGGAATGGGAACAATGGAAGATAGGTAACTTGAACCACAGCAGTTGCTCTCTTCAAAGCAAATAGGTTGAGGGTAAGACCATCTCAGTGGGTCATCTTTCTCTGGAAGCCTTTACTTGCTTTGCCTGTTTCTGCTCTAAGTGATCTTTGATTGAACTAGGCTTATCCCAGCAATTTCTTCCTCCATTCTAGCCAGATTTCAAACATTTCCCTGGGCAGTTTGGCTGGATCCATGTTTCTGCCCTATTCTTGAATAAGGAAGAGAAAGGAAGTCACCAGACAGCAGCAAGAATGCTTGAAAATATCTTCTCTACTGGTCAATACTGGACATGACCTGAAACTGCCAAGCAGAATCTCACAAAGGAAAAGATGTGGCCTCCGAGTGTGATAATAGGGAAATATATGAGAAGATTGTTGTTAAGAGTGTTATCTTAGTTACTCCTATCTTCTTAAAGGGGGTGTGCAGTGTTTCATCATCTGCACAATTTATCAGTTGTTGAAAAAGCCTGGAGGGAATAAAGAGGAGGATCCTTGTTAGCCTTAAAAGGAATCTTTACGCAAATGTTTTGCAATGTTTCACCATCTGCACAATTTGTTGGAAGAAACTGGAGGATCCTTGTTAGCCATCTCCATCTCAGAAAAAGAGCGCAACCCAACCAGGAAAAGCTGCTGTTGCCAAGATTTGCAGGGTCCTGTAAAGGGAAGTGGGAATGAGCACATCTGCATCAGCGGCTCTACTGTTCCTAGGGCAGAGGTAGGCAACCTTGGCTCTTTTATGACTCGTGGACTTCAACTCCCAGAATTCCTGAGCCAGCATGGCTGGCTCAGGAATTCTGGGAGTTGAAGTCCACGAGTCATAAAAGAGCCAAGGTTGCCTACCTCTGTCCTAGCTGGACCTCACGGAATCTAGGGTGGGCGGGAGAGGCTGCCTCGAATGCGTTACCTTCGTTCCGTGATAGAAGTCGTCTTTTGTCAGCGACCCCATGAAGGGGAATTGCATATGCGTGTGCGGGTCGATCCCGCCGGGAAGCACCAGCTTGTCCGTGGCATCCAACACTTGGACTCCATCGGAAGAAGGCTGGAGATGCGGCCCCACGGCCCGCACCACCCCGTCCTCGATGTACACATCGGCCACTTGCGAGACATCCGCGTTCACCACTTTCCCACCACGGATCAAAAGTTTCTGCATGATGGAGTTCTGCGGGAGTTTCTGCTCGGACAGTCGCCGCGGGGAGAGTTCCGCGGAGTCGCGTTTTTAAGGTTCCCTCTCGACTCCGCCCCGCCCCCGAGGGAGGGGCTCCCCGCCACCTCCCCTCCCTGGCGGCCTATTCTAAAGAAGGGACTCAGATTCGCCCCTGCGTCCTTGCTAAAGGCCACTTGGCGCATTCTTGCGCCACAAGTGGGGCTGGCTCTCGGGGCGCAAATCGATCCCGGGTCATTAGTTGATGGCCGTCCGGAGGAGTAAAGGTCTCGTAATAATAAAGACCCCCCCCCCACCGCCACCACTATACTAAACCCGCGAATAATTACTGTGGAATAAGAATAAATAAGGGACATCAAGTAATTGGCATTACTGCCCAGTGATTTCTTACTGAATCTGGTAGCTTTTTAGTGAAGGAAGGCATGGAGACATTTCCCCCCCCCGTAGGGTTGCCAGGTCTGCTTCCAAAAAATAGTGGACAAGCGGGGTGTGTGTGTGTGTTAAGTAGTAAAAAAAGTAGACTGTACAGCTTTAGATTACGTACCATTTCATCATAAAGCTTTTGAATAAAAAAAAATGTCCACTATTTTGTGAAAAAAAATAGTGAACATAATGTGAAAATAGTGGACTGTCCACTCAAATAGTGGACACCTGGCAACCCTATCCCCCCCCCCCGTCTCCCCAAAATGGCACATTTGGGATAGTCCCTTTTTTTAAAGCATAATTTTGCAAAAAAATGTTTTTGTAAAATTAGTTTTCCTACTTTGTCCTGGATTCTAACTCCATAACTGCTAGCCAGGCTTGCCAACTAGAGTTGGATTACCACTACATGGAGGCAAAGGCCATTCTTTCCTTATTGCCAACTAGTGGTGATCCAGATTTTTGCAGCCGAGATGAGATAGTCCTAAATTTGGGGTTACAGCTGTTGAAGTCACACATTTTAGGGGAAGGGGAAGGTGTTCTAGCCTATGAAATACCTTTAACGTAGAATAGTTCCTCCTTTGAGTGAGGTTTGACTCCTGGTGAATTGTAGATCTTTCAATGTAATTGTCTGGGTAACAATATGGAAGTAAGGGGTTCTTAATGCTTTCTGAGTTTGGTTGTTTTCTTGCAGACGTTACCCAAACATAATCAGTGCTATAAGGAAGTGGGATTTGCTCCCAATTTATATTCCAGTGGATTTCCCTGTCAGTGTTGGTGGGAGTAATATGATAAGGCTGTTGACTGTTAGTAACACTACCCCAGAGGAACAATATTCCCAACCCACCCAAACCTAATTTCCCATTTCACATATGGTTAACCTATACTGTATTACCATCTGCTGAGTCACTGAACTTTTTTTTCTCTCTTTTTGGTTTGTTTACTTTTCTGATAAGAAGTTAAAATTTAAATACTTTTAATGTTTGGTCTGCAAACATTCAGTGGCCTTGTGTCTATGGATAGTCTGGGTCATCCACATCAGCTATCTCAAAGGTGTTTTTTCAAAAGATAATTGGAGTGTTTTTTTCTTTGAGGTTCTGCTCCTCATCCAAGAAGCTTCATCAAGCTTGTCACAACTGATGAAGCTTCTTGGATGAGGAGCGAAACATCGTCTTCTTCTTTCTCAAAGAAAAAAACAGCCCAGTGGCCTTTTGAAAAAAGCGCTTTTGAGATTCAGTGGCCTTGACCTCAAACACATTTTTCTCTTAGATAATGACATTTACCAAGTGATAAAGGAAAATGAATCGATGTTCTTGAGAAATAACAGCAGAGGTGAGGAAGAAAAAAAGTCTATTCACAAAATATCAAATTGTCATAATGCTACCTCCTACCATTGCCTCTAGACCTCTCCGCCTGCAGTGATGCTCTCTATTGCCTCCCCTAACTTTAATTACTTAATGTAATTTTATAATGTGTGGACTATGACTATCCTATGGTTATTTTACAATGGCCAAAGTGTAAGCATTTTTAATTAATAAATAGAATTATAGGTAGTTCTTGAACCAACATTTCTTACTAAGCAAGGTGGTGGTGAAGTGAGTCATGCCCAATTTTATAATATTTTTTTTGGTCATGTTTGTCAACCAAATCACAGTAGTTGTTAAATGAATCACATGGTGGTTAAATGAACATGGCTTCCCCCACTGACTTTGCTTGTTCGAAGCAGGCCAGGGAGGTGGCAAATGGGCAATCACATGACCTCAGGATACTGCAGCCGTCGTAAATATATACCAGTTGCCAAGCACCACAAATTTTGATCAAGTGACTATGTGATGGTCATAAGTGTGAGGACTGGTTATGAGCCATTTTTTTCATTTTTTCAATGTCCCTGTAACTTTGAATGGTCCCTAAACAAATAGTTGTAAGCTGAGGACTACCCATATAGTATCATTACAGAAATGGCCAACAATTTTAATTTGGTTTTCTACAGATAATCACAACTTAATTATCTACTAAATCATACCAACTTTTGCTGTATCAGCTCAGGATGGCCTATTATCTACCAGATAAAAACAGAGAAATCTCTAAATGTTTTATTGTTATGGTAGGAAGGCCTATCTCTTTATATGCTTTTGGAAGAGTGGCTTTTCTATGCCAACTGTAAATAAATTAAATACAACAGAAGGCATATAAATTGAATACATAAATAAGAAATTTTGTTTTTGCTACAATAAATAGGGTTCAAATCAGTTCAAAAATTATTCTCATTTAACAGTACATTTCCCAAATGTTCACTTTCTTACAGACCTGCTTAAAACAGCCATTTCTGTAATAATATGTAATATAGAATTATATATCACATAATATATAATCTGTAATAATGTAATAAAATTATGGTAATCTATAACAGTTCTGTCTCCCTCCCTGGACTATAATTGCAATCAAAGCATTTGTGGTAAGTCACCTCTATTTCTGCAAGCAGGTATTTTCCCTCTTACTTCACATTGCTGGGCTATTAAATTAAGGTCATCGAAAAGAATGCAGCTAGTTTGGCAAACCTTATCTATGACTGAAAAGTACTTTGCTCTTTCTGAAAAATTTCTCAATTTGTTTGAAGGAAATTTTATTTCTACTCTTTTCAACTTCTTCAGTACACAAAAATGGTCTGCTTTTGACCAATCATTTCCCTTTTAATTACTATACATTATGCATAGAAAAATAATGCTATTCTATGTAAGCCATATAAATAATTTATTTCCTGCCTCTATTATGTTTATAAATAACTCAAGGAGATGAACATACCTAATACTCCTTCCTCCTCCTATTTTCCTCACAGCAACCACCCTGTGAGAGGGGTTGGGTTGAGAGAATGACTGGCCCAAGGCCACCCAACTAGCTTTCATGCTTAAGGTGGAACTAGAATTCATGGTGTTGGTTCTAGCATGGTGTCTTAACCACTAGACCCAACTGGATCTGTTGTTGACTCTTATGGAGAAGTTAGCAGTTAAGCAGGTGAATAATGATTATGACACCACAAGTGACTCTGAACATAGCATGGTAGAACTGGGTAAAGGGTCCATCCAAAGAAATATTCCCTCCCTAATGTGACCCTCTGCTATAAGGCTATAAGAGAATTAACACACAATTTCATACACATGTGCTGCACAATCAAGAACAGGTTCTTACCTAATGTAGTTCTTCAAGTATTCATGCTCACTGGTGAGACATCTAAAAGGCCCATTAGAAACCTTACAGGACTAAATGACAGGAGCCCTATCATCCCCCAAGCATACCATAAAATTATGGTCAGCTTCTGCTAAATGCTGTTTTTAAGATAAACACAGCAGAGTTGAAGACGCTATGAAGTCCTGAGACTAAGTGGGTTAGCATTATAGGTCATGTGAATGCACAGATTAACATCCAAAGGCCCAGGAAATACAGTTCATTTCTTTGCTTAAGTGTGGAATGTTGTCTATACATTTTGGAGTTTGTTAAAGGAGACCCTCTAATACTGCTTTGGAAATTTTTTTAATCATCTCTGTGAATAACACACACTGGTGAGTAGTAAAATATAGTCCTGGCAAAATGATACCATAAAATCTAAGCAAAAGGCAGGAGTTTAATAAGACATCCAGGGAACAAAGCAATGTTTCCATTGCTGTTAAGGAATTGGTAAAAATACAGGAAATAAATCACAATTCAGGTGGAAGGTAAAGTCCAACCTTGGAAAGAAGTAAATCTTCAAATCAAGAACTTTGTAATGAGCAAAGTTCTCCAGCTCAACTAGCGAAACTTACAACAAAAATTGCATTTCCATTGGTGAGGGGTTTGGGATGGCAGCCGCAAACTCAAAAGGATTTCAATAATAAAATAGAGCAAGAAAGAAGCTCCAGGCCAGAAGTAGAGACACTGGAGAGTAGAGGCATGCTAAGTCTTTCATGAAATGTTTTATTAGCAAGTTAGAAAAAAAAGAGCCTAACAACAGAAGAGGCCTGTGAGATACGTTTTTACTTAAAGAAAGAGGCAAGTTAATGAAAGAGAAAAGCCAAAATGAGATGGATCTGATATTACAAAACCAGACTAATCTGAGATCTTTACTGGTGTAGTGGAGGATGGAGAGCCATTGGCTTTACGTCTTTCTCCGCAAAATAGGATGGAAAATTATTTTTCCACATCTAGAATGTGTGATTGCATCTAAAGTTGCAATCTTATGCATACTTACTTAGTGTGAAGCTGCTTAAACAAACAAACAACAGGAAGGGACTTACATGTGTAAGATTGCACTGAATAACTTATTTACAATGCAGGATAAAACAAATGTCTTATTCTTAGAAACAAAAGTCGTAAGTCTAGTCAAGCCAATAATTTGATTATTTTCTTGAAATCATTGAAAATGAAATGTTTTTATTCTAGGCATTCTTCTTTTGCGATAGGTTTCTATGTTTTTAAGTTATTTTAGCTTAATTCTGTGTTAAGTTTAAGTAAAAATGACCTGATATTTAGCTTCGAAGATTAAATAATATTCGAAACTTAGCAGCCAATTTTGCAATTAGAAATCTTGAATTTGA